TCACTACCGCTGCTGAGTTTACTTGGTTTGTCTCTTTCCACCGTCTTTGTTTGGATGTCTCGGCATTTTAGTAAGTTGGGTGAGTTTGATTGATATTGTCTATGGTGTCTACTGGCATCTTTTGTCTTTGTCTTTTTTTCTTTTTTGAGTCTATCTTGTATCCCATGACATTCTCGATTCAGTGTTAAAAAAAAAAAAAAGAACAAAATTTAATATGATAAATTTAGTACAAACGAAAAATTTGACTTAAAAAAATACATTTCTGGTTGCACAGATCATTTAATATAAATTCTTATAATAAATGTTGAAGACTTTAAAATATACAACACCATATTTTATATAGTATATTAAACAATTTTATTATATATTATCATTAAATTTTGAATCATAAAAAATGCATGTGCAGATGCACAAATCAAAATTTAAAAATAATGGTGATAGAATTGAGTTTTTTAACAATATAAAATGAAATTATATGATATAAACTATAAAACTATTGTGTTAAGAAATATCATATTAAACAATCATTTAATACATGTAAAGTTTCAAAATATATATTATCATTTATATAAAATAAATATTTATTTATAAGAATGTAAAAACAATGCAAATCAAACTCTAGTTTATTTAAAGGAAAAAATCATGTTTTACATCTGAGATGCTCTAAAAATCTCATCAACGTTTCTTACAAACTTACTGTTTTCATGTTCAATCGCCTCATTTCCTCGACTTTATTCTGTATGTGTAATCCTAACTGCATGTTGTTCTCTCGCAAAGCTGAAAATTGGTCGTCTAAATAATTGGAACCAGATGAAGAGTTGTGTGACTCCGACATTCTTTTTTTTTTTTTTACTCGATATAAAACCAAAAAAACTTTCTAGTAAGCTTCCTCTATTTATACAGTGTATTTGGACTATTATTGGGCTATTTTTAATTGTTTTGGGTCTATTACCAAAACTAAATACTATAATAAGAATAAATATATGTGAATTTACTGCCAATAGATGGAAACATATTCTTATATCTAATCTATTAAAACACACAGATTACAAATCTAATTACAAAATTCATAATTGGATCATTCCATTTATATAACGTTCTATTATTTACATACAACAAAATTAATTATTATAATTTATATACCATAATCTAACATATTATTTAAATATTTTCAAAAGAAAATATCTAAAAATAATAATTATAAGTATCTTTTTCTAGGATTGTGTTTTAAAAATATCTTTAATATCTTTTTATTTAAATGTAATATTTATTTCTTTTAAAAAGTACTTTTAATAATAAAAATTTGACTTAATATTAACTACTATTAAAAATAAAAATTAATTTCATTTTGATTTATAGAATAATAAATAACATTAATCAAATTATTATACCAGTCAGTAAATATAAAATAACTTTATCTATATATTATAAAATTTTATAAATTATTCAATTAAAATAATTACATTGAAATAATAACATATGTTAATTAAGTTTACAATATACTTCAACTTATTAAAATAAAATATTCAAATACAATATAAATAACAAATAACAATTTTTAAATTTTAATATATTTTCACAATAAAATACATAAACATGTATACATTACAGATTTTTATTTATCAACACCCATCCTACAATTTTTTAGCAGCCATATGGCATATTTTTCTTATCAACATTCGATATATAGATGTTTTTCAGTGACATATATTAGTCTACATATCAAAATTAGAATATTAATAGACAATTCAACATATTTGGATTTGATAAAAAAGTACAATACTAGCTTCAGATGGTACTAATATTATTTGATTATATGTAACATCAAAACTATAAGTTATGTTTTATAATTTTAGTTTTTGCAAAAAACTTCATAAACATGTAAACGTATGAGACGGACTGACTGACATATATTTATTATATTATAATAAAATAAATCATGACGAATATAAAAAGTTAAAAATAAATCCTGATAATTAAAAGATGTACATATACACAAAAACATATCTTTTTATATTAAAAAAAATAATATAATATTATAACTATGATATATATCACTAGAATGTTTTTTAAGATTCCTAAAAAAGTTGTATGTTGGTCCATCTTAGTATATACTAAATTTTTTATTAAATTTACCAAAAAAATACTTTTAATTTTTGATTCTTTCCTTAAATAAAACATACGTAATTATCTAACGTAATTAAAATATAATGCTAATTAATGGATTTTTTTATAATGAAAATTTGATTAAATTTTTCGTTTATTACCTATTATTTTTGTTTAATTTTATATTATATCTAATATAAAATAAACGAGACGAACACGTCAAACTCTAGCTTATAATATTAAAACATAATCACTAAAAAATCTAATTACAAAACATTTAAAATGGTCTTTATTTAACTTTTTATTATTTTACGTACAACAAACTTATTTATTATCATACAACCTAACCTAACACATTATTTAAATATTTCAAAAGATAAGATATCTGAAAAAATATTCTTCAGTATCTTTTTCTAATATTGCATGTTAGCAATGTTTTTAATATGTTTTTAAAATGTAAATAATTATTTGTTTTAAATATTTACTTTTAAATAATGAAAATTATAATTATTAATAATGAATATTAATTACTTTTTTTGATTGACAGAATCAGAAACAAAATTTCATATACATAAATCATATTCCTAATTAGAAAATATTACATCAATTAAATATAAAATAACTTCATATATTTATTAACTATTAAGAAATTAGAAAGTTAAAAATTTTGTGTATACAAAATAACACATGTTCATAAATTTTATAATATACCTCAACTTAGCCTACCTCAACTTATTAAGATAAAATATTAGAATCAGATATCTAAATTAATAAATTTAATTTTTTAAAATACATATCTAAATTAGATTACTAAAAGATAATTTAATTTTATTGACACTAGTATTATTTGATTATATGGTACATCAAACTATAGGTTATGGTTTAGTTTTGGTTTAAACATTACAATTGTATCGAAATGGAAAATATGGTTTAGTTTTGGTTTAAACATTACAATTATATCGAAATTGAAAATATGGTTTAGTTTTGGTTAACTGTTTAAACCAAACCACACTCTAAGTAAAGAGCAGAACTTACTGTCGTTTCTGGTATATTACAAAAGTTAAAGGAGCTGTCTTGAGATTTGACTATGAACCCTTCGGAATCTCGTTGAAAAAAATGGTGAATTCAAGCTCGCAATAAGCCCTCCTTTCGGGTCACGTCTCTTGTTCTGAGAAAGTAAGAATCTTTTTCTATAAGTCGATGCGTCGACGCTTATTTACAGCTCTGTATTTGGTGGTGATTCATGTAGCTGTTCAATGTGGCAATGTTAATGCTCAGAAATCAGAAAAAGGTTTATAAATCGTTGAATATGATTACCCATTTCACCAATTGCATTGCTTTCCCATCATCCTCTGTTCCTCGTCAGAGCCAAGCTCCTCAAAGGTTCGACCTTTCTCGTGTTTCGTTTACAGTTCGGTGTTTTCAGATTCAAATCTGTCTCCGTAGTGATAAGTCTCAGTCACCCACTCGGTTTTTCGTTAATCCGGTTTCACGGGGAACTAGGAATCAAGCTCAAGGAGCTCTTTTTGATTACTTGCATAGCACTAGAAGTTTTACATTCACTGATGCAGAGCATATAAGCAAAAACTCGCCGCATTTTCTGTCGAGTTTGCTGTCCAAGATCGCTGATAACGAGAGAGATGTCTCAAAGGCATTGACTAAGTACTTTAGGTACAATCCCATCAACGAGTTTGAGCCCTTTTTCGAGAGTTTGGGTTTGTGTCCATCTGAGTTTGAGCAGTTTCTTCCCCAAAGGCTAATGTTTCTGAGTGATGATGGTGTCATGTTTGAGAATTTTAATGCTCTTTGCAACTATGGGGTCCCACGTGGCAAGATTGGCCGTGTGTATAAAGAAGCAAGAGAGGTTTTTAGATATGAGTCTGGGGTGTTGGTGGCTAAACTCAGGGCTTATGAGGATTTGGGTCTTAGAAAAGGTACAGTTATCAAGCTTGTTACTAGTTGTCCCTTACTGCTTGTTGGTGGTGTTGATGGTGTTGATGGTGAGTTTGCTTCAGTGGTTGATAAGTTGAAGAGGTTACCAGTGGGATGTGATTGGCTTGAGAGAGACTTGTCTGACTGGAATACGTATAGCTGGGGTAGGATTCTGGAGACAATGGAGTTTCTTGAAAAAATGGGGTGTAAAGAGGAGAAGCTGAGTAGTCTTTTGGAAACTTATCCGGCTTTGGTGATTGAAGGCTCTGGTAAGAAGTTCTATGTTCTGTTTGGTAGGTTGTTTAAAGTGGGGCTTCAAGTGAATGAGATTTATAGGTTGTTTATAGATAACCCTGAGATGTTGTCAGACAAGTCCGTTAAAAACATTGGGAAGACGCTTGATTTCTTGATAGCTATTAGAATGGAAACGCATTTTATCAGGAAGATTCTGCTGAGTCACATGGAGCGTATCGGTTCATGCTCCCTGCAAGCACCTAGAACTGTTTGTGTTAGTTTGAACATTAGCCAAGAGGAGCTATGTGAGATCTTAAAGAAAGAGCCTTTGAGATTGTTCAGCTTTGTGTCTACAACAAAGAAGAGAAAAAGCAAACTTCTTTCAGAGGATGCGAGGAAGTACGCAGAGAAGACTGCTTTTCTGGTGAGGCTTGGGTATTTAGAGAACTCGGATGAGATGGTGAAGGCTCTGAAACTGTTTCGAGGGAGAGGAGATCAGCTGCAGGAGAGATTTGATTGCCTCGTGAAAGCCGGTTTAAACCACAATACGGTTGCAGAGATCATCAGGCACGCTCCAATTGTGCTTAACCTCTCTAAAGATGTCATAGAGAAGAAGATACATTCTTTAACCCAACTTCTTGGCTATCCCATTGAATCTCTGGTGAGTTTCCCGGCGTATTTGTGCTATGATATGCAGAGAATACATCACAGATTCTCAATGTATTTGTGGTTGAGGGAAAGAGATGCAGCAAAGCCAATGTTGTCACCGAGTACTATCCTCACTTGCGGTGATGCCAGGTTTGTCAAGTATTTTGTGAATGTCCACCCTGAAGGTCCAGCTGTTTGGGAAAGTATAAACCAATCATCTACCACGGTTTCTTGATTTTCTTACAACTGAGACAGTGAGGATATGCTAATGCAACACTGAAAATGCGAGCTCTGTGATACAAAATGCCAACTAAGGAAACAAAAGGGTATCTTCTATTTGACAAACGTTAAGCCATTATCTGTGCTTGGATTCACTGGAATAGTTCTTTAGACAGTAGTGCAGTGCAGATGATCAGCAAATTTTTTGTTGAGGATCTTCCTCCTGAACCGTCTCTGCGATAGTTCTCTAAACTGATGGTTGGTCTAGAGGGCTTAGAACCTTGGAGGCACTAGTCATGAAATAACCTGACGTTAGGTGTTCTGTATTGTCTTATAATTTGATGCTCTGTAGCAATGCAAATTGATCTAAAGTATCAAACAGCTTGTAAGCTTTGACTATAAAAATGCACATGTACTCTCATCACTCTTGTTGTCAATATTTTAGTTTCAGTTAATAAATTGTCTGGACTAAGTGTTACATACAAAATTTTCAAGAGCACCAATGGAAAAATCCTAATTTGGTGAATCTTGATTCTCTATAGAAACTACTGCAGAGACTTTCCTTCTAGGCTTAAGCTTCTCGATACCAACTTTGACTTGAGAGCAGTTAGAGTTCGTTGTCACAGAGCTGTTATCTGATGATGATGTTCCTGCAACAGCTTTGCGTTTCCTTATCTGTTTCTTCTCCTTTCCATTGTCTTCACTCTCACTCTCTTGTCTACATACATCTCCTGAACATCTCTCTAATCCTTTTCTCCGCCTCTTTGGTTGTCTCTCTATATCAGCACAGACTTCTTCACTCTCACATTCCGCATCTGCCTTCTTCCGTCTGCATTCACATACACAAAAAAGAGGTGAATAGAGTTCCACAAGGCCATTTCCTGCGTATGCAATTCGATTGAACAAACCTTGCTTTGCGTTTCTTCTTTAGCACGGGTTCTGGCTCAAACGATCTCTCGGCTAGTGCCAAAAAATCGCTTGTGTTAAGAAGAGGACGCTCTGATTCCCTATCAACAAAGTTACCTATAGTAGCTTCTCTTCGTAACCTTACAGCTTCTCTTTTTAGATACTTTAGGTGAGGATTTAACGTCTCCCATCTCCTTGAGCACTGCTTGCTAGTACGAGTATACACATGTGAAGCGACTTTGGGCCAGTTACTATCTCCATGTTCTTCAACTGCTTCATTGTACTTTGAAATCTCTTCCTCGGTCCAGCTCCCAAAGTTTAATCTAGGATCTAGAGAATCTTTCCATCTTGCTCGACACTGAGACTGCGTCCTTCCAGGAACAAACTGAGCAATTTTATGATAACTTTTAGCTCCAAAGAATGTCAAAGCTACTCTCAGACGTTTGTCTTCCTCTGAGCTCCACTTGGCTTCCTTTGAATTTGATTTCCCTACCCTTTTTCTGCTTGGGACAAGCGACTTTTTCCATCTGAAAGTATAGAAAAACGAAGAGAATAAGACACTACTTAAATAAGCATATTAAGGTTATGTTATAATCCCACATCGACTAAAGATGGACTTGATGGCTGGTTTATAAACCTATGACTCTTCTCTGCTGAAAAATATTGCGAGTTCGAGAAGATCACTGACCTGTTAGAGCACTGAGTTCCGGTTCTGCCGTCTATTTCATTAGCAACAGACTGCCAATCTCTCTCGCCAAACAAGCCTACTGCAGCACGGAGTTGGTCATCTTCTTCTGGAGTCCACTCTCTTCTCAGTATGTCTGTATTCAAGCTTCTCTGATAACGAGCCAAACATTGAAACGGGGTCCTATTTGTCCCTAATGATACCGCAACATCAAGCCAATCTGTAAAACTCTTGTTTTGGGTAATTAAGCGTATGTAATCGTCCTCTGCTGCAGTCCACGGACCTTGGTTAATCAACGGATCTTCTGAGCTCATCCACCTGCAATGAAGTAGCACAAATTAAGAAAAAAAAAATACTAGATTCATGTTAGAACCAGAGTTTTCAACTAGAGGAGGAACTTACCGGGCTTCACATTCTGCAGCAGAACGGTTCTTGATATCCAATTGATCCCAGTTAACTTTCGGAAGAAACTGCCTAATCATTTCTGGTGTGATCTCAAGATCACTTACCGATCTAAGAATGGTGTCTATATCATCTGAACATCCTTCCAAATCACTGTTAAGAAGAAAGAAAACTCTTTTTAAGAAGCAAGTTTTTAAGGGTACTAAAGGCACTTTAGAAAGAAGGAAGGAAGAGAAAGCAGTACCTGGACCGTTCAGTAGCTTCACGAATGAGTGCTTCTTGAAGCTGTTGTTTGAGACCTTTTGTAAGATCTTCGTTCTCCTTAACAGACCAATTAGTACGACACACTGAAACGGGATACTCCTCTAAAGCCATCCTATAACTTGCAACACAAGGGTTTTCTAATGGACCCAACGTCTCTTTACCATTACCCTACACAGAAACATGTTTCCATCAATGTCAAACACTAAACAGAAGTGGTAGGAGCAATTAAATCAAAGTGCATTTACTTACCTCAGTCCTAGGTTTTCGTGCTGAGATAAGCTCAAAACGTGGATCTTTACCCTGACAAAACGCCTGTTGCTTAATCCTTCTCTTGCAAGAAACTGTGAAACCATCAATAATCTTAACGTCTTTCTGAAGCTTCTCGTTCTTCTCAATGGTAGCGTCGATTTCTCCTAGTTTCCTTTGAAGAAACTTCTGATACGACCTGTTTTTCCTGATCGCATCAACAAAGGCTTGTGCAGATTCAGGGAAAGTACTTGAAGGCTCAATGGAAGTGTTGACAGCTTCTAAATCCTCTGAAAAGCTTTCACAAGTATTAGACCTACTCATCAATATTTCGCTTGAAGGTTGATTACACGAGGCATGTACCTGCTTTTTCTTCTTATTCTCAGAAGAAGAATCATTCTTGTGATCTCTCTCCACACCTGAAGGGACATCAAAACAAAGATATATTTTCATAAAGTCTTCACCTTTTTCAGTAAACAGAGAACAAACAAAAGTCACAAATGAGCTCACCTGAGTTTTCATAAGAAGAGAATCTCTTACAAATAGCGACAAGGGTTTCATCTTCGTCTTCTTCGTCCATTGGAAGTGACAATTGGCTCTTGAGACTTCGAAGCATCTCGAAGTCATCTTCACTCTCTGAATCAGAAGGCAGTGATGATAACCCCATGGGATGATCCGTGGAGGAAGCTAATTGCGTCTTGATGCTTCGGAGCATCTCGAAATCTTCTTCTTCGTTATCCGAATCCGACGGCAACCCTCCGCCGTAATTGGAATCGGAGACGATACATGCGCGTCTTAGGTCTTCGAGATCTTCACCGATATCATCGTCATCGTCGCCGTCAGACTCGTACATGCTTTCTCGATCCATCAAGTTAAATAAAACCAGAAACAAGTCTACAGGCAATGGCAACCTTGTGGGAGAAGAAGAAAGGAGAAGGAGAAGGAGAAGGATCAAGGTTTTCTTCCTTGAGAAGAGCTAAAAAAAATTGAATTAGGGTTTTATATGGCGGTAAATATAAACAAACGATTCGGGTCGGGGATATTTCGTGATCTTCACACTTTTCTAATGGGCTTTTTAGGCCCATACATTCGTATCATAATATATATACTCGAAATATTACAATTTTTCTGACCAAAAAGTAAGCAGAAGGTATTAATCTTTTTTTCTTTTTTGGTAAAAAGGGTAGGTAGGTATTAATTTTTGATCCGCGCGAGTTTGAATTTTGGTGATAATTTCAGTGTTTGGTTACAATATATGATTATTTTATTTTGTGTTGATTTTACATAAGAAACATGGTTTATTCCTATTTATTCTGATCACAATCCATAGGTTTTTATATGTTTTCAGTAATTTTATAAAATTGTGAAACCACTTTTATTTGAATATATATTGATTTCCAAAATTTTAGTTATGTGATGAATTTGTATTATGAGTTTTTATATTACTAAATATAAATGTTATATGTGAAATTGTAGGAAATGAATTCACCAAATTTATAAACATCATGAAATATGCAAACCATTTTAAGTATTACAGATAATTAAATGAGGTTAATGCTACCAATTGTTTTGGAAAAATTTAGTTTGTAGTCATATACGAATGGGACAGTTGTAATATTTTGCAAAAACCAAGAAAATCTGAAATATCACAGACTTCTTATACAGACATGGTAGGCTTGCCTAAATCTGAGATATCACACATCTTCGCTGGTAAACAGATTCAGAAACAGCATTTTTTCACAACTTGTAAGTGACTGAAGGCTTTGGGTTCAGATCTTGAGAGCATCCCAATATACATTTCAATAATCAATTCCCTTTAATACAAATCATATCCTAAAACAAAAATGGAATCTCCAATCTTTAACTATAAAACACCTAAACCAACAACTTTCTTCAAGAAGTCTCTTTATTACATTCAGATTATGACACAATATCACGTTGGGTTCTCTAAGGACTCTCTAAGAGAAGAAGCTGGTGATGGTGATGGTGATGAATCAGAGAGACAAGACCGTGCTATCTTGGCCTGTTTATCTTTGTTATATGCCTTTTTAACATCGTTCTTCAGCTCCTTATATCTCATCCTCTTCCATCTCCTCTCTTTCACTGAGCCTCTCTCCGGATGCGACATATCAGGTATGTCCTCGTCCATATAATCATCCATGTACTTGTCCAGAACCTCTGAACAAGATGGAAAATACCTCCTACCTGTCTCAACTGCAACAGTTTCAAAAATCAGTCAGAGAATATGAATTGAAGAGTGCTTGAAAAGTGTAAATGGCCTTGAGCTTTTACCTGTTTTCATAAGTGCTTCCATACGAGTAAGCAGTCTTTTAGTTTGCATATACGGCGTTTCATTCAAATCAACCTGAGTCAAGTTTCCTGTTGCACAATTTGATGGTGGTGGAACAGGAAAACCTGTGAACTCGCTAGTCCCTTCAACATTAGCAATGTCCATAGCTACATCAGCTTCTGTTGGAAAAAACAACTGAGCAAGTCCCACTGCAAACAACCAACACATACATGACAAATTCTGTAACAGTCATCAACCTTAACCTTCAGCACATATGTATGTATAAACATCGAGTCAATACCTCTCTTTTCTAAGTACAACAACCTCATTTGAAGATCCTCAGGCATAGAATGAGAACAGGTAGGTGTATCTCCACTAGCCAATGGATTCCTTCTAATCTCCCTCTCCAAAATATCTATACACAACCGATCTTTACTAGCTTCATCCCCTTTTGCAGTTTTGGTATAATAATCTTTAGGCCTAGTGAGTCTCCTACATATATTAACCGCACTGCGTCCATCAAATGTAAAGTCCGAAGCATTAGCTCCTTTCTTAAGCAATGATATGATAATTGACGGCTCTCTACGCATAGCAGCGTAATGAAGAACCGTATATCCTCTTGAGTTTCTGAAATTCACATCAGCCATATCTAAAGCTAGAACCTCAGCCACAACTTTTGGATCACTATAAGCCACTACATAATGCAGACCATTAGCTTGGTCTAGAGTTGTATCTGACTCGGTCAAAAGAAGCTTCACTAGCTCAACATCATCTGAATCCAATGCCTTAAGTACTTTCCCTGTTCTCTCTACCAATTTATCAGCCACCTCGTCTGTGTTCATTGACTTAACTCGAAGCTTCTTGATTTTTTCAGATACTTCGAGAGGAAGCTCCTTCTCCATGTAGAATCTGTCTAGATCTGATCTGGCTACTCTCTCAATGCACTGATCAAGAAGCTGAGTCAAGTCACAATGAAACGCAACTAAGAGGATTGGAAGAACATTCTCCACTAGTGACTTCTCAACATAGTTACAAAGCCTCCTCTGCAGACACATAAACACACATACAAGCATTAACATCTAAACGAATCAAAAAGAAATTAGTTTATTATCTCACAGACCTGAAACGATGAAACCAGCTCTGTGATTTGGAACGTATACGAAGCATACATCAACTCAACAGCGAAATCAATGGCGGGTTTACAAGAATCATGAGCACAAACCGTATCAACACAAGTGGAAACCTCTACAGGGAAAGGCTTTAGCTTCCCAGTGTAGATATAATTCAAGAAATGCAAGAACGCCTCACGGCCAACATCTCCATGAGGCAACAAATCTTTCATATAATACTTTGGTTTCTTCTCCTCACTCTTTCCACCACTCTCTCTATCTTTCTTGAACAGCTCAAAGAAAAACTTGCTCCTAGCAGCTAAAACACATCTGTAAACACCCACTGCTTGAGCCTCTCCTTGGAATGTGATCTCTGCGTCAGTGTAATCACAATCAAAGTTGGTGAGAAGCTGCTCCAAGTCGGTGCTGAGCTTGGCTAAACTTGCTGCTTCGAGATTGGCTGATGATGATTGATGAGTGGTGAGGAGAGGAGAAGGGTTGGATAAGTGAGAAGATGTGAAGCTTATAGATGAAGATGGCTCCATTGCAGTTGCAGCCATATCCTTTTTTCCAAAGATATAAATCAAAACCCTAACTTTTGATTCCAAATCATGTGTTCTTGAGCTGTGAAGATGAAACCTAATCAACCCATGAAGAAAAGATCAAAACTTTAATGAAAGAAAAGAAGCCAATAATACCTTAGAGAAAGTCAACGGCCATGGATGATTGTAGAAACCCTAATTGAGTCTTCAATTATAGAAAGAACTGAAGAAATAAAAATGGGAATGCTTCGGAAAAATTCACAGATCGGATGTTGTTTTGGACAAGTGAATATGGTCGGATGAAGATTTATGGTTGAGGAGAGATCTGAGGACGAATAAGAATCTGAGGTTATTATCTAAAGGATAATCTAACGGTGAGAAATGAAACAAGACAGGTCTTTGTTAAGAACAAAACAAAACTCAACGACTAAAGTTTACATTGTTTTGCAAATTAATGCAAAAAGAGACAAGAGAAAGACAGAACAGTACAATCTCCTAATTTGTCATGACGAAAATCTTTTAAGCAAATTGAGACGACTTTTGACTTGTTGTGAAGGGGTGGTGTGAAGTGGGACGATGACGTTTTTAATAACGTCAGCTTTGCAAAATATACACGAAATGAATACTAGTAATATTGATAATAAATTGGAGGGATCCTTCTTAGTTTATGTATTAGTTAGTAATGTATAAGAAGTCTTACCCAAAGTTTTATTGAATTTTTTATTTCAAGTTACATGTGTCTTATCTGAAGAGCATGAATAATTCAATATCTCAAATGTACTAAATAATTTTTATTCTGCATAGAATACTATTCGTACTTTGCTTTGTTTCCAATAAGAACAATCCAAACATCTATATCAAGTTTGTAATTAAGTTTTATTAGAATACTACAAGTCTCACCCAAAACTTAGGTTTTATTGAATTACATTTCAAATTTGTTGTCATATTTGAAGAGCATGAATAATTCAATATCTCAAACCTTTTCTTTACTTTCATATGACATAGCCAAATTCATTTTCATAAGTTGTTATAAGATAAAATGTATATTAATTACTTTTATTGATTCTACACAATATACTATTCATACTTTGCTTAGTTTCCAAAGAGGACAATTCAAATTCCAAACATCTATATCAGAACATTTCTTTTAACCACATCCATTCTTTTTCTAAATGAAAATAAAAAACCACCACACCCATTCAATAATAGATGATTTTTAGGACAGTTTTCTTATGATTGTTTGGCTAAATCCGCAAGAAAATTAATCTTTCTTGCAACATTTGTAAAACATAATGATCAAAATACAGTCATTTTTTAGTTAATCAAATTTTCATCAATAATCTTAAACTCAAATATTGAGCATAGAGGCTCTTTACTCCTCTCCAATTCGAACTAAAACAAACTAGATCCCAAAAGCTCATTCTACCCTCTCTTTCACTGGCTATTATACTTTGTATTCTTCATATTAATATCACTTGTACTAGACACAAACCTCTCAAGCCAAGGGAAGCTGATGAAGATGAGATGTGTTCCTAAAGAAGGTGGCGACTGATAAGAAGTATGGTGATCACTGGGACTAAACCCAACAATTTTGCTAAGTCGAGCTAGTGCTTGAATGAAATGGAGATTGATAAATGGATCACTCAAACTGTTCTTTTTATATATAGTTGAAGCAAATAGTTTCATCACAATTCATCTTTTGAGTTCAATCAAGAATCTAAAACCCCCAAACAATACCTTCCAGAGAGCGAGACACTCTCCTTAAGCCTCTACAAACCACCATTCCACCCCATTTTCACTGGCTATTAAACTCTTCATAGTAATCATCACTTATAACCGCCACAAACCTCTCAAGCCAAGGAAGCTGGTGAAGATCTTTCATTGCTGCTTCAACATACGATGACTCTGTACATGGAGGAGGAGGAGGCGGTGGGGACTGATAAGAAGTATGGTGATCACTGAGACTAAACCCTCCACCCGCTAAGAACCGTTGGATCAGAGCGAGTTGAGATCTTTCTTGCTCTGAATATGCGTCCATTACTGTTGGAATTGAGTTGAATGTGTCCCAAGGCCATTGCTCAAGTTCTTGGATTGTGTTCTCAGACTCTGAGTTTTCTTCATCTTCTTCATCATCGTCCCAAAACGCACAAGTGCAAGTCTGTTGCCCTCCTCTGTACTCTGCTCCACAACAGTAGCAGAACTCATGCCCACACCTGCCAAAACACACACACACAAAGAGATGCTTCAACATTGAAACCATCTAAACCAAAGAATCATATGCTTTATGTGTAGCTAAAGATATGAAACATGATGTGGATGTATGTCTTACCGACAAGTCATGTGGTTACAGCCTTGAGCAAGCTCGATCATTATACGGCATTGCTGACACCGTTTCCACCTCTTATACCTAGCCAAGCGATGCAATGTAATATCATCTGGATATCTTTCATCAACCGGAAGAATCTGAAACTCTTCACAGCTCATAGAGTCATGCCATGGAACACCACAGTCCACACAAACAAACCTCTCACAGAGTGGACACTTCACACAACAGCTACTCTCCGACATACTAGACGAGCTTGAGCTTGCACTTCCACTTCCTGGTGATAGACATTCACGAGGGTCTAACAGAAAAGAACAGTTGGGATACGGACAGTAAACCTTGCCGTTGTTGGTACTCCGCATGTTTGCTTCCTCGAATGACTTGAAAGATGTGACGGGAAGAAAGGTTTTGCATTCGATGGATGAGAGATAATGCTTGCATTGTTCTTGAGGACACCTGATGGGAACTTCTGAAGAGTTCACTTTCCCTTCAACGTATGTTTTCATGCAATGTGAGCAGAATTTGTGAGTGCATTTCAGAGTTAGCATCATCTCGGAGAGACGGTCTTCACAGCAGATGGAGCAGTTCTCACCTGATTTATCCCCATCAAGGTTACAAGAGACGATTCCTACTGCTACTTGAGCCAAGCTTAGAGATTGATCAAGATCACAGTAAGGAGCAAGCTTTAGAACAAACCCATCGAGAGTACTTGTTTTCTCCAATACCCTTTCTCTTAAAGCTACCAGAAGCGGAGTTTCTAGCTTCTCCTCAAGGGTTATCTGCAAAGCCATTTCATATAAACAACATGAGACCAAAGCTACAAAGAGATATAGAACTGTTTGTAGAAAACTTGCCTGATTATAGAGCAGCTCTGAGTCTGTTACAGCAACCACAGAGCAGAGATTGTTCTGTAAAGCTACTGTAAGACCATCGAGTAAAGCTAAATAGTTAGCTACAGACTCTTCAGCATAAAAGTCCAGCTTCTTCTGAACCTGAATCATCTCAAAATCTCCTGATCTCTCGAACACAACACCAATTCCTGAATAACCAGAACCCGAATCTCCTCTTCCGGATAATGAAACTCCTTTAAAGAACATCTTAACAGAGAACTCTTCACCAAGCTCATCTTTTTTCTCCTCCTCTGCTGCTTCTACCATAGCTGTATCATCACTCTCCTTTAACCAAACTTCTTCATCACCACAACAGCTTCTAAAATCTTCCTCATCTCCTATGTGGTTCAATGGCAGAAGCTCATCAACATCACAAGAAACCTCTTGATTTTCCATGTTTGGGAACTACACAAAAAAAAAAAAAAAAAAGGTACAAACTTTCTTTACTTAGCAACAAACCAAGGAATGCCCAAAACAGATCTGCAAATTAACTCTTTGAGGATATTATCTAATCTCAATTCTAAAAATTTCAAACTAAGAGAGAGAAAATGAAAATGAAATGAGCTTTACGTTACAGATCACCAAAACGGCTAATCTTACAGAACTTACTTCGACAGATCAGCTTAGATCACAAGAACATCATGCAGAAAATAACAAAAGACACAGCACACGTTTGGTTCACCTACTAGAACCAACCTCAATTATTATTACATAAACTTGAGTGAGAGAAGAAAAAAGAAAGTTTAATTTAATTAAGAACCAAACAAAAAAAACACCAGAATATATGGTAATAAAACGAGATCGATTGAAATTAGAAAATATACAAATCATTAATCAAGATCGAAATTAAGAAATCACTTACCGAACTAAAATTAAGAAGAAAAATCTAAGCTGCCATAATCAAAAATCTCAGTTTTTTTTTTCCTTTTATTTTTATTTTAGATGATTCGACTGGATATTGTGGAGAGAAGAAGACGAAGACGAAGAAGAAGAATCGGTTTTCTGGTCTTTTTGCTCTCTCTTGGAATGGCGTAAGTGAAAAGTTTTACTTTATTTTTGTTTCTTTATTCTCTCTTTTTATTTTATTTATTTATTTTCTTTTTTTTTTATTGTAGACATGACTTCTTTGCTGTCATTCTCGTACTGTGTTGCGGTTTTCACTGCTAATTAGCAAAACAATTAAAATAAATAGATACAAGTTTTGAATAATTAAACCTGTAATCGTATTGGATTAGGCTCTGAAGAATTATAGCTTAAGAAATCAAATAAGCACATGGACTTTGTCTCCTCTTAATAGAGAAAAAGCTGTAACTATATTAAAAAAAAATTCCTTTTTCTGACTTTCAACGTCCAATAGTTTATATTCCCACTATTGCTTTGAATAAAGATAACAAAAAAGAAGTTAAAGAATATGTATTGCTGCAATAGAAGACACTCAAGGACAGTTGTGGCAGCAAACAAGTTTGAAAATGGAGACATCAATCATTAGCTTAATTATTTTAAACTTAATTCAAATACGGCTTAATAGCTTTTTAATAAGAGTGTTGTGGAATTGTACTAAAGGAACAAACAGAGGAAATAAACATAAGATATGTGTATTGCTAAAAGAATAAACTAAATTAAACTAACTTGTAGATATATTTAGAGTAGTTATGATGCGTTAGTCTTAACCGAGATGTTGATTTTCTTGTAACATCTCTTTTTCATTGACTTGAAACTGAGTGATCATCAACTCAACATGTACATGATGGACATGAAAAAGTTTTTTTTTTAACTAGACATAACAGAAAGTTACAAAGGAAGAGTTATGATTCATGTCCTTTAATAAGAACTTGAGCTGCTTGGTTAGAGAATCTTAGTGTTCAAACAACTTGTGCATCTACAAACTTCCTTTGACACTATTTGATCTCACAAACTTGTGCATTTTCAAAACTGATCTTATTATTACCATTGCTAAGATTTGTCACTGATTTGTTGGCTCCTACAAAGATAGCACAATGGTATCCTCTTAGGCATGTTGCATGATATTAGGATTTACTTTCTCCACTTCGACCTACTTCAAAATAGAGAACCAAGTCAACCAACTGAACTGAATCTCAGAGGAACCTTGTTTTGGTCTTCTCAATGTGTACTTATGGCGTATTTTATTTATTTCTGATTAGATGTATCAATTGAAGGACCAAGTAGTGAAAATATCAAGTGATCTTATGTGAGTCTTGTATTAGTATGGCATATGGTATAGGACTCACATAAGATACTAAGGCCTTGATTGGTACAGCAGATGATAAAGCAGTAACAGTATGCTGCAGAAGCAGTATGCTACAGAAGCTGTATGCTTTCATTAAAGTTTTTAATAAAGTGATTGGCAGAGCATTAGCAGTATACAATTTTAAAATTGTCTTACTAGTTAGTAAAATAATATATTACTTTTAAAATAATATATATAATATATATTTATAATGTATAATTTTATTAAAATAATGAATTTTCATTATATAATTATATTTAAAAATTTAAAGTTTTTTTAAAAATATTAAACTATTTTTGGATATAATATTACTCATATATAAAATTATAGTTATAATTTAATTAATTATTATTAAATTATAATTATTATTAAATAAATAAATTAATTATATTATATATATAAATTCATTCTAATTTATATATAAATTATTATTATTTATTTATTGGTAGAGCACTAAATTACTCATATATAAAATTATCATAAAAGTTAATATATAATTTATTTATTAGTGTCTAACTAATATGTTTATATCGAAAATATATAAATTATATTATGTTATGTTTGTTATTAAAAATAATGAATGATATATGTAGTTATATAAATTATATTGTATTTTAAATGTGAAATATTGTTCTTTTTAAAAAATAATTATAATTATAATTTTTATTTTTTAAATATAAATTGATATTTAATTATAAAAATATTTTTATATTTTTAAACAAACATAAATTAATTATATATAAATATTACTAAGTTTTATATTTTTTATATGCAAATGCTCTTTCAAAAGCTCTATATGAGAGCATTGAGCAAATAACATTTGGAGAGCATTTGCATTTGGTAAATGCTTTTCTAAATGCTTCTATGCTAAATGTTGATTGGATAATAGAGAGCATAATGCTTATGTTAATGCTCTACCAATCTACCCCTAAGAGAGTGCTCTGTTTTGTGTACAAGAAAATACTACAATGTAATGGCTTACTGAGACAAAGCAATGTGGCCCAACATCCCTATATGGGCTACTCAAGATTTGTTTCTGAATGAATGAAACTAATTTAGATGTCCACTAACCCGGATGTTACAGGTTTTTGTTTGACTTCGGATTTTAATGATTCCTAAATTACTAATTAAAAAAAAAAATTGTTATAGTTTACTCAAAAAATGAGTAGTAGGATGTAGCGACATGTTACCAATTGAAATGACAGCAAAAATTCAACCACTTATTTGGATTTTGAAACATATTAAATTAGACAATGTCGGTAATCCAGTTTTAACCTGACCCTTTTAATAATAATAAAACGAGTGCTTGGGATGATTCCACCCGATTAAACAAAAACATGATAATGTTCAATACAATTTAAAAAGTTTCTATCTGACAATGTACATACAGAAATACACAATCAACAGAATCAGGAACCTGATTCTCCAACGTAATCTTCTACTTCTCTTGATTTAGTCCATTACTTTGTAAATTGACTTTCCACATCCACACCGAGAACAAGCCGGCAAATATTCCTATATAAACCAACCAAACACACAAAACAATTATTTCATCAAACACCATATACTATAAACTAATCTCCATACTAATGGCTACTACCAAACTACTCATGAAGCTCGTCTACATCCTCCTCATCATCTTCACCTTCACCGTATCTCCAGCCATTTCAACGGCCCATGAAAGTTGCGACAGCGGCTCGGAGAATTCATGCATCGACAAAGCTAAGGCTTTACCACTCAAGATCATAGCCATTATAGCCATCTTTACGACAAGTTTGATAGGCGTAATGGCACCTCTTTTCAGCCGTTACATTCCGTTCTTCCGTCCTGACGGCAACGGTTTTATGATCGTTAAGTGTTTCTCTTCTGGAATCATACTCGGAACCGGTTTCATGCACGTGTTGCCTCATGCTTTCGAGATGTTGTCATCGGAATGTCTTAGTGATGATCCGTGGCATAAGTTTCCTTTCGCGGGATTTGTCGCTATGTTGTCGGGTCTAGTCACTCTAGCTATTGACTCCGTTACCACCAGCCTTTATACCGTTAAAAACGTAGTTAGACCAGTGGTTGACGAGTATGGTGGCATTGATCAGGAGAAGGCCATTCACGGTGTAGGTTACAATCATAGTCACGGTCATGGTGTTTTGCTATCACCTAGTAAAGATGATGGACCTTCTGATCCACAGCTTTTACGGTACCGTATCATTGCCATGGTTAGTACTAATGTTGAAGAAATCTTGGACAATAATTATGAGTTTATTAGATTACTAATGTCTAGCTTATAGATTAAAATCTTATATTGATATATGTAACACAACATTAAACCATTTTTAAATTTCATGAATTAATAGGTATTGGAGCTTGGGATCTTATTTCATTCCGTGGTCATTGGACTATCTCTAGGAGCATCTAATGATGCATGTACCATTAAAGGACTCATCATTGCTCTTTGCTTTCATCACTTGTTCGAAGGCGTGGGTCTTGGAGGATGTATCCTCCAGGTATAGATATACATACATATATTTATGCGTCTCATATCAAATTGTAAATTAGAAGTTTATATTCATATGTATACAATTTACAGGCAGACTTTACCAACGTGAAGAAGTTTTTGATGGCGTTCTTGTTTGCTGGGACAACACCTTGTGGTATCTTTCTTGGACTCGCATTGTCGAGCATTTATAGAGATAATAGTCCAACCGCATTGATCACTATTGGGCTGTTAAATGCTTGTTCGGCCGGAATGCTCATTTACATGGCACTCGTCGACCTTCTAGCTACTGAGTTTATGGGATCAATGCTCCAAGGTAGCATCAAACTTCAGATCAAGTGCTTCGCGGCTGCAGTGCTCGGCTGCACCGTAATGTCGGTCGTCGCCAAGTGGGGTTAATACACTCAATAGTTAATAAATTTTTTATTTGATTTATTATATTCAAGGGGATGGGGATAATGATTCGCATTTGTACATTCGAGCGTTTATCTTTCAATTAAATACACTATAGAGCTTACGGATGTTGTTCATTTTTTCTGCTTCAAATTTTATATTGGTCATGTTTTAATTGTTCATACATGATGTTAGTTGCTCATATTGCTCTTTGATTTTCATACAAAAATGATATATAATATAAGCTATCTGTCATTTGATAAATGTGATAAAATTGTATATTTTTCTAGTGTAGTTATTTATAAAGCATAACTTTCAGTATAGTTATGCAAGATTAATACAGCTATTTTCAAATCACATGTTGTCTCATAGAAAAAAAGATATGCTATGTTTTCACTTTTATATAGATCAAAATTTTCTTTATATGCCAAATAATTAAATATCATATTCACATTTATAGTTATATATATTTTTAAAAATATATACCCATAGCACTTACATATTCATCTGCTGGGATCAACTCTAGTGAGTCTCTATCAGTTATGGTGTATTGTTTCCATGAACTTATCCATTGTATCCTATAAATACCTTGATTAATAAAAATAACCGATAACAGATTTATTTAAATGACAATAATTGGCTTAGTTAAAGTATTTCATTCGTAATTCATAACTTGATGCATTTTCAATATACTATTGGTTATATAAAACTTGAATATTTGTAAATTTTGAATCCCTAGAGACGACTGAACCATTTCCTTGGGAAGTTTCATGATCATGAAGGGTATTAAAGCGACTTAATATTTAATTGTAGTCATTGCCTTTTGTAAAGTCATACACTTCTACTCTATGTTGATAGTCTTATAATTTTAATAAGTTACTTTTCTACCATGTTCCTTATCTTAGGATTTAGTTTGCTGTTTTTATTTTGTACGCAACTTAGTAGAAACAAGTGAATTTATAAGGCCAAATCAAGGAGTTGGCATAACTTAAAAAGTTAAAATGTATATATATTCATATTTTCCACATGAAAAAGTAGATATTATCACAGTTGTCTAATCGTATAGGCATTTTGTCACGTCGGTGAAGTACGAGTCTGGCATGTTCGCAGTAGCGGTCCTGAATTATGTTGGGCTCGAAGCATCAAATCTTTTTTGGGCTACCATATATTAGTTTATTTAAAAATTAGAAAATGTTCATCATAAGAATCGAAACTGTTACCCTATAGAACTCGAGGACATCTTTCCACTACATTAAGTGTAGTGTAAGCAAGAATGATGAGCTGAAGCACTTCCTTCCAGTTCCAGGGCCGGCACTGACGTGCTGCGCAATCGTCCAACTAAATGAAACCGTGGAAACTAAAGCGACGTGCTGCTTCGTGCTCCTCCAACTATATGAAAAAGTGTCTTCTTCAAAAAAACAAAAAACTATATGAAACAGTGGAAACTAAAGCGACAGGTTAACAATATGGTAATTCTTGCTTGATGTCCTTATTATTTATGCATTTCTGTATTTCAAGAAAAACAAAACAAACAAAAACAAAAATTAGTATAACCGAAGTTGACTTGCTAATTGGATACATTCTCGGTATGGACTGTATTGATTATGGTGGATAATATAAATAATTGTATTTTATATAACTATGATTCTTATGATTACTTTCATGACAATCAATCTAATCAATTATATCTACTTCTATTTAGCCATACACAATTGGTTCCTTAGTTTTTTCTTCATCTTGTAGCATACTTTTCATGGTTTTAGTGTTAGCTGTATCACCATTCTAAGAAGTTAGAACATTTACAGATCTATAACCAGTCAAAAATAAGAGAAATGCAAGGCAAAGAAAACCCTTCCATTTAAAACAAAAGAAATGAAGAACACATAACACCTTTGAGAAACAATCAAAAGGAAAGAAGGCACGCCATTGAAATGGAATAGAATTCCAGAAAATTGATAATAGTCTACTTTTTTTCTCTTTATAAGTCAATTTTAGCGTCGTCAATAATGCGAATGATGTTACGCGGTCTGAAACTTTCACAATAATAAAATTTACTATAACCCACATAATCTGCTAAATCTTTCATATCCTCGTGGTTTATAACATTCATAATTTTACATTAAAATAATCCAAATATGTAGAGAATAATGAACAAGTTCGGTGCAGTACTGCATCAAATCAAGTGGTGGTACAAGCTGAAATTTCAGAAGCTGGAAAAGCACAAAAGGAACTACTGATCAGATTATGGAACTCGCGAATGAGTTAGAGATTGAACAATTGCAATCAGAAAATAACAAAAGTATACATTCCATACTTTTGAGGTGTGAGACCAATAAAACCACTTTAAAAGTTTGGAATGGATAATGATACGATCATACGAGAGAAGGATAAACGAGGACATGGAGACCGCGGATACGCTCTACTCGTTAGTGTTTCCTTCTTTTTTTTTTCTTGTTTTACTAAGCTTTTTTCGTGGGCCACTTTTTCACTCAGCTTATGAACCATATGTCCATAAGTGTCTCATTTGTAAGTTAATGTTTAGCAAAATATGAAGAATGTCTTACCATACTTTCTAAAACTCTATGGTTGCAAAACCATACCTTGTATGTTTTAATGGTTTTACTTTGAATTCCCTTTTTCCAAAAAAAAAAAAAAAAAAATCAAAATATGTATATAACTATAATGTTCAGTTAACATATACAGATAATTTAACTTCACTACCCATTACACCGTTTATAGATATGGAAATCATCACATAAGTTCTCGTAAATTAATCAATGACAATTGTGCAATTTCTTGCAGATTGCTGATTATAGAAGATCCAAGTTTCAATCCTTGAAAAATGATTTATTAAGATATACAAAGTTTTACCAAAAAAAAAAAAGATATTTAAGAGATCTTCAATATTGTGCAAGTAAATCCGGTTAGACGTGAATCTTCATATGATAGCTCTGATAATGAAGTTAGGCTTAGATCCTCATAATTGTATTAACATAATAAATCATCGTTAACAAAATTAATCAATGACATTTAATTTTTAAAAAAATAATCAATGACACCATCTGGCCATTATAAAAAAAAATTTGGACATAACTTATATGATTAAAAGACAAATTGACACAAAATATTATACCCAAATTCATGGAGTTATATATAAAAGTATATATCTACTACAAAACTGCACATCAACGAGTCATTCCTCCAATTATAAAAGGTAAGTTGCACTTTTGCCAATTTTAAGTTTTGTTTTTCTTCCAAATTCCAGTGTATTATATTTATTTTGGTGGATTTTAGTTGGTGTTATTCGTTCTAAAGCGTATATATATTCGTTCTAGATTAAATTTGTATATACTTCAAATTTTGAATAGTTTAATAAATTAAATTTGTTAATAAAAGTCTATAAAGAAACTTTAGTCATCTAACTATAAATAAAATTTGAACAGTTAAATAATATTGATTTGATTTTGTTTTAGTTAAAGAAACTCAAAATATTATATATAAATCATATTCCTATCATTTTTATCATAAAGTGATGATTTAGTTATTATTATTTTTAGATAATATATTCCTTTTCAGTATTTTCTATGAAAAAGAAATATTATAAATTATAGATATTTGACGGCCAAAATTATTTATCTATTTCATTAATAATTAAAATAATTTATTATATTAATCATCTTTATAAATATATGTCATACGTTTAAAAATTAAAAAAAAAAAGAGAGAAACTATCATAAGTGGGTTGCGTGGGTGGAATGATTATTATTTTTCTGAAGTAAAAAATATAGTCTTTGTGTTAAATTGAAAACAAAATGGGTAAGATTGAAAATATTCTAATCTAAATTTAATTTTTCTATATATAAGTAGATTTAGTTTGGAGATTTAGTCAATATTAATTATCTAAACTATTAAAGGAGAAGTACAAATAGAAAATAACCCTCACTTTTCCTCAAATATTACAGAGCATGCCACTGTATCAATATATTCCTATTACTGCGAATAAATAAAAAATACCTTTCAGAATTAGTTTCCATATCCTACGCATGCAATTATAACAAATATTTAAAATTGATTAGCATATATTTTCAAAAGATATGATTTAGTTAAAAATTTAGAACAGAAGAATATTATAGATTGTGTGCTACTATTATATCATATTCACGTAGGTTTAGTATAATAGATTATTATAGAGTCCACTATAAAGTTATATATAATTCAATCAATAAAAATAAACATATTTTATTTAATACAGCTTAATATATAACTTATTGCATGTAATAATTATTTCTAAGAAAATATCTATAAAAAATGTTTAAACATTTTATGTTAAATATACATTCAATATCTATTCATTTATTATTAAGAAATAAAATATTTTCGCATGGAAACATGGTGTATATTATAAAAATGTGCTGATAACAATTTACAGTTCAAAAAATAGATAAAATTATTCATTATAACAATAAAGTTATTATATTTAGAAATTTTATATCAAACAACTATATAATATTGATAAATTTAAAATATATATACTACAATTCTAGAAAAAAATGTTTATTTATAAATAAATTAAAAACAAACACCCGTGCGGATGCACGGGTCAAACTCTAGTTAGGTTTATTTGGGTACACAACTAGATTTATATTATAAGATTACTTTTCATGAGAAATTAGAAGGAAGGTTACAAGGATGGTATTCAAAAACCTTATCGATGGGGGCCAAGGAAGTTTTGATAAAGTCGGTCGCATTAGCTCTCCCTATATATGCAATGTCAGTTTTCCGGTTACCAAAAGGCCTTTGCGAACGAATAACGAGTGCGATTATTGAGTTTTGGTGGAGTAGTGGTGATAAAAAGAGAAAAATTCCTTGGGTTGCTTGGGAAAAATTATGTAAACCAAAAGAACAAGGGGGGCTTGGTTTTCATGACATTGGCCGTTTCAATCAAGCCTTACTCGGAAAACAAGCTTGGCGAATTTGGAATAACCCCGATTCATTGGTTTCTCGAATTCTTAAAGGCAAGTATTTCAAAAATGGTAATTTTCTCGAGTGTGGGATGGGAACTCGACCGTCTTTTGCATGGAGGAGTATCATGCACGGTAGAGAATTACTAAAACAAGGATTGGTTCGCCATATTGGCCATGGTATGGATACAAATGTTTGGGCAGAAAATTGGATTATCGATATTATTCCCCGGCCTCCAATGTATCGAGAAAATAGCTCCATAGATTTAACATTAAAAGTTTCTGATTTATTATTACAGGGGACAAATCAATGGGATATTAATTTGTTACGTCTCACGTTTACATCACAAGATGTGCAAAGGATATTAGCGTTGAAACCGGTTTTGGATTCCCAGGATACTTTAAGATGGGGTTTTACACCGAATGGGACTTATTCGACTCGAAGTGCCTATAAGTTTTCAGAGACTTTGGTGGACTACGAACACCCTCCGCAGAGCTCTCTTACTCTAATGGAAAAACATTTGTGGAGAGACCTCTGGAAGACAAAAGCACCTCCAAAAATTAAACATTTCATGTGGCGTGCTCTATCTGGTGCTTTGGCGGTTAAACAACGTTTGGCTACCCGGGGCATTCCTATTGTTGCTCTGTTTGTGCTAATGAGGCTGAGAGTATTTGTCATGTTCTCTTTACCTGTGATAAAGCAAAAACCGCATGGGAGCAATCAAATTTCCCTCTACCTCCAGGGGGTTTTTCACGGAATTCCACTTTCTTAAATTTTGTGCATCTGAATAAGATTGCCAAGAATTTAAATTTGGATACTCATATTAGGAATGTTTTCNTTGCTCTGTTTGTGCTAATGAGGCTGAGAGTATTTGTCATGTTCTCTTTACCTGTGATAAAGCAAAAACCGCATGGGAGCAATCAAATTTCCCTCTACCTCCAGGGGGTTTTTCACGGAATTCCACTTTCTTAAATTTTGTGCATCTGAATAAGATTGCCAAGAATTTAAATTTGGATACTCATATTAGGAATGTTTTCCCATGGTTATTGTGGGAACTTTGGAAAGCTAGGAATGCTTTTACTTTTGAAAACAAAGTAATTGACGCTTTTGTCGTGACTAAGAAAGCTTACGAAGCAGAATCAGTATGGTTTGATACTTTCACCGTAAAAAGTGATAGAGTCACTATTGATACGGAAATGGTGCGATGGAAACACCCGCCTATGGGATCCCTAAAATGTAATATTGGATCCTCATGGGTGAAATCTAATCAACCTTCTGGTGCTTCATGGATTTTACGGGATGAAAATGGGGTTACACTCATGCATAGCCGTCGGGCTTATTCTTACATGCGTACAAAAATAGAAGCGGATTTATGGGCTTTATTCTGGGCGGTGGAATGTATGGATAATTTACATTACTCAAATGTTATTTTTGAGACATCGTCCGATTGCCTCCATGATTTCTTCACATCGCCTCCGCACCTGCAAGATCGTGTTTTCAACCTCCTCCGCCACAATATCGTTTCCCTGTTGGCAAGGATTGATACATGGAGCTTAGAACATGTTTTCCAAGACCGAAATGAAGCAGCAGCATCAATTGCCCTTAGTGTAACTCGTGATCAGCGTTATCAGTCGTATATCGCTAGCCATGCTCCGACTTGGCTACATCATCTTCTCGTCTTGGAGACCCAAATGTAAGAAATTTGTTGGGTAAGCTTTCCTCCTCAAATTGTTGTAGGTATCTATTGATATCCCTTGTATTTTCTCCTATTGTATCACATTTTCCATGTATTGGACAAGTAAAAACACCAGTGTTATAAAAAAAAAAANAGTCGTATATCGCTAGCCATGCTCCGACTTGGCTACATCATCTTCTCGTCTTGGAGACCCAAATGTAAGAAATTTGTTGGGTAAGCTTTCCTCCTCAAATTGTTGTAGGTATCTATTGATATCCCTTGTATTTTCTCCTATTGTATCACATTTTCCATGTATTGGACAAGTAAAAACACCAGTGTTATAAAAAAAAAAAGATTACTTTTCATTAATAAATGTTGTTTAGTTAAATATATTTCGTATATATGTGAATAATAAAAAGATATTATGCCTATACAAAATATTATGTGAAACAATAATTTGGTGTTCTAAATTAATGTAAAAAGGTCATATTTGACATGTTCATTTCTACCATTTAAAATGTTTATTGAATTATATTTGACAATAATATTAATACGGTTGTTATCTTTTTTGTGCAGATATGGTTGTTATCTTACAATAATTTCAGCATCTATAACTAAATTTTCAGTTCAGTCTTAAAGCTATGTCACAATTACGAAAGATCCATGTCACATCTTTGAATAAACCCTTTTATCACCTCTTTAGAATATTGTGATAGTGACATTTATGGTATGTTTTCAAGCTATGAAAGTGAAAAGCAGAATCTTCATGTCTCGCTGCATGTGGTTCATGAGTACGTGTCAGGATGACTAGATTGCAACCATGCACTGACAACGAGCTCGTCACGCGAGATTTTGTGCTCATCGTAATTCAATACTTTAAAGTATATATATACACCTATTGTACTTTTAGTAGTACTTATTTTCTAAACGGCGTGATAATTGCATTTTAGTCTAGGGTTTCCCGCTTTGGTCAATGGATGTGATATATCCATTTGATGTGACAATTGACTTTTTCAGTAATTCAGGTTGCATATAGAATTGTAATCCTCATCAACTCAATTGGTTAAAGTCAAGTTGCATATAATTATTATAAACATATTTAAATTACATGTTCACTTTTTTTTTCTTATGTATCTTGGTAAGCTCTTCCTTTTGCAATATTATTGATCATTTGTTTTCCAAATAATCTTCGTCATCAGTGGGCAATAATGGCACGCACAACAACGTGCGCACATTGCTATATAACTTGAGCCATCCCATAAGTCCATTCCAAAGCACACAAACATTAAACAGTTCAAACAGAAAAAAAACTTCCAAAGTAAACAAAGATGGCTTCAACTTCAACAGTCCTCATGAAAACAATCCTCATCTTACTCATCTTTGTCTCTTTTACAATCTCTCCGGCAACTTCAATTGCGCCGGAAAAATGCGGAATCGAGTCAGCCAACATGTGCATCGACAAGACTAAAGCTTTGCCTCTCAAAATCATAGCCATTGCCACAATCCTAGTAGCAAGCATGATTGGTGTTGGAGCTCCTCTCTTTAGCAGTAACGTGCCTTTCCTTCAGCCCGACCGGGACATTTTCACTATCGTTAAGTGTTTCGCCTCAGGGATTATCCTAGGAACCGCTTTTATGCACGTTTTGCCTGATTCCTTTGCGATGTTGGCATCACAATGTCTTGAAGAGAACCCATGGCACAAGTTTCCGTTCTCAGGGTTTCTCGCTATGTTGTCCGGTCTAATCACTTTAGTCATTGATGCCATGGCTACGAGCATCTATGCTAGCGATAAAGCAAATGAGATCGTACCACATGGGCATGGAAATGATTTTTCAGTACCAACAAAAGATGAAGATTCTGCACAACTCTTGCGATATCGAGTCATTGCTATGGTTAGTACACATATGGACATATTCGAAAACTAACTTATCCACAGTATTATTTTAAGGGATACATAACTGTATAAATCTTATGAATATATATAGGTGTTGGAACTTGGGATCATAGTTCATTCTGTGGTCATTGGACTATCTCTAGGAGCAACAAATGACATTTGCACCATAAAATCACTCATCACAGCTCTTTGCTTCCATCAAATGTTCGAAGGCATGGGTCTTGGTGGTTGCATTCTCCAGGTATATAAAGTTATGCATAAAAATTTTCTACCTTGTTTCAAAATTTTAAATTGTAAATAATGAATACTTTTAATGTTTGAGATGTTTTCAGGCCGAGTATACAAACTTGAGCAAGTTTCTTATGGCGTTCTTTTTTGCGATAACAACTCCATTCGGAATAGCGTTAGGGATCGCTCTTTCAACAATTTACAGAAACAATAGCCACACTGCATTGATCACTGTTGGGTTGCTCAATGCATGTTCTGCGGGATTGCTCATCTACATGGCGCTTGTAGACCTTCTAGCTGCTGATTTCATGGGACCAAAGCTTCAAGGTAGCGTTAAATTGCAGATCAAGTGTTTCGTAGCTGCTCTTCTAGGGTGTGGTGGCATGTCGGTCATCGCCAAATGGGCTTAACCAATTCCCCGGATAGTACTTGGGAACTGGAACTGAAGTCATGTGAGTTTTGTTGTTGAACTAAAAACCTTTTTTTGGTTTAAGTCTCGGTTCGTCTCGATTCTTTAACGTTTATTTGTTCCTTTACAAGATACATGGTATCTATCATGTGTAAAGTCTGTTAAAATGTATGTATTGTGATTGGTCGGTCCCACGAGTCTTTCCTTTTGTTTAGGGTTATTGTCGTATATGTTTCACAGCTCATTAAATAAAAAACTCCTTCTAAGAAGCAAATTATAGAAAATAGAGCTATTTGTTACGTAATCCAAATTCGGCAAGCTGAATGCCAAACATTGGAACATTAGTAACATTATAGTCTATATATAAACTAAGCCGGTACACCGTAGACGATTATCCAGGTCAAAACCATGTTTCAGCTAATACTTGAAAAGTAAGTTATTTCATATAGTTTCCTTACCTAGTTACATTTTCTGTTTAGTCTACTTTGAAAATATAAGATCGAAGCCCGGTGTGAGGGATATAGACAACCAATTTATATCCCTCGAGTTCTAGTCCAGAATATTAGAAAACTTCGGTGACTACAATTTTATGATTTTTAAATCATTAGATTTTATGTGAAGATAATTAGATTTTATGGATTACATTCTATAATCTTTATCTTTTCATGTCCACATATCATAGGTAACTATTATGCTATGCTTATATAAAATAACATTTTTATGTAACAAGAAAATATTAAAATAACATTTTTTTTTTGAAACAGGATATTAAAATAATGTCAAAAAATTAATATCCGATTAGACTTCGATTTTTTCATTATATATGTGCCTTCCCTAATCCAAGTATCCAACCGTAAGAGATATGTAGAACGAGTATCGAACAAGGCATACTACAATCTCCAAATACACAAATACAAAGACAATAGAGAAATTCCTGGCTAGTATTTTTTTAATTTTTTTTTACAAAAATAGCTTTCAATAAAAAATGATCAAAATATTTTTTTATTAAAAGGTAAATATGCATTTATATTTTTGGATTAACTAATCGAAACTAAAAATTTATAGTTAATAGGTGAATTTTAGGTTTAAGATTTTAAATTTTAAATTTTAAAAAATAAAAAATAAATATTAAAAATTTCAAAATAAAAATGAACTATTTTGATAATTTTATTTTTTAATTATTTTATGACAAAAATTAAAAAATAATTATTTAAGAGAATTGCCCAAACAATATTTAAAATTTGACGATAACGAAAGCAAATAGTTAGACCATCTTTATCCCGGTCTTCTTACCGTATTTTAGGGGGTGGAGGGTCCACGGTTTGGGAAAACACCGTATTCTTTGTTGCAGAATAAACTACGTTTGCTGAGAAGTTTTTATACTGTTTCACGAGCCCCACAATACGTGGTAGATAAAAAAAATAAAAAATCTAAAAACCCCCTTATCCCTTGGGATAAAGATGGTCTTAGGAATAAGATTACATCAATATAATATATTATGCGATATGAGCTAGCATCATTCATTAAATTATTTTAAACTTTATCGATTTGTTTTCTAAACCTTGCATAAAACTTATAATATTGGCCGTATCATTTTTTACAACATGACATACATAAGATATAGTGGACAATATAAAATGTAATCATATCATAAAGATTATAAGTGGTATGCTAACTAGTAAACAATAATTTCTCATCAGCAACAATAAATTTCATGAAATGGGCCGGCGTACATTAATTATTACTATGTAAACCGACTCATCGAACAGGTGAAACGACACATAGACAGACACCAAAACAACCGAACAGAACATAAAACTTCTAAAGAAAAAGAAGAAGAAAAAGGCTTCGATGAAAACAATCTTCATCGTACTCATTACACAATCTCTCCGGCAACTTCAACGGTGCAAGTTAAGCAAAAAAAAAAAAAAAAAAAACTTCAACGGTGCTAGAAGAATGCGCAAACGAGTCAGCGAACCCCTGTGTCAAACAAACCTAAGAGCATCTCCATTAGTGAACCCCCATTGGGGTTCACCAGGTGGCATTTTATTTTTTTTTTACTTTTTCAAAAAAAAAAAAAAAAAAAAAATTCGACGAATCATGGTTCGCCACGTTGTGAACCCGTGATGAACCAGTATCACCGCAGCAAGCTCAAGTGGAGCGGGTTCACCACTGTTTGTCTCGTAAACCGTGTGAACCCCTCCTTTGAACCCCTAATAAACTCCTAATGGAGATGGTCTAAAGCTTTGCCTCTCAAAATCATAGCAACTGTCTCAGTTAGTTGGATATATAAAATTGAACTAATTTGGAGTTTCAATCAATTTTAGGTATTAGGTATTACTTTTTATTACTAATCGTATTTTAGTTAGATATATTTTCGTATATGTTATAATAAAAATATAATGTTAATAAAAAACTAATATGTGGAAAATTGTAGTTTAAAGATGTGAATATATCATATTTTCAGCTCTATCATTTCTATTTTTATAACTATTATCTTATATTTTTTTTTTTTTATAATTAGGCCATATCATAATCTATGTCATATTTTTAGTTGACTGTATAGCATCTTTAGAGTAAATAATAAAGGTGAAAAAACTAATTACTCCCATTTACACTAGAAAACTCCCAATCAAACAAAACTAGTATTTACTTCACTAACTCTGATTACTGTACAAATAAAGAAAATACACTCTTGCTATTACGCTAGAGTAACTTATTTTTCTCAATTTTCCTCTTTTTCATTTTTTCTTTTCCTTCCATTTCCACTTTTTATATTTCTCTCATTTACTCAATATCACCAATCAGAGAGTAAATGAGAAAATTATTACAAATCATAAAGTTTGAGTAAGCCATGTCATTACTTTTTAGAATAGTTATGATAATCATTTGGTAAAGTCTACTTTCATACCTGGCTGCATGTATATAATGAGTACGTGTCTGGATGACTAGATTGCAACCATGCACTGAGCACGAGCTCGTCACGTGTGATTTTGTGCTCGTCCTAATTCAGTAAAGTATATATAAACATGTCACAATTAGTATATTTGCTTAAATACACGATTAAAGTTGACGTTTTTAGAGAACTATACGCATGGGCTTGACTTTAAACTCTCCACAAACGGCGTGAAAATTGCTTTTTAGTTTAGGGTTCCCCGCTTTGGTCAATGGATGTAATATATCCATGTGATGTGACAATTTGTCTATATAGTAATTCTTTTTTATTTTAAATCATCATTTTTTAGGGGTTTTGACTCTCCCATAGCCATTTATCCTCTCATTTGTTTGAGGAGTTTTACATTTCAACAGTCTCTCGTTCTCTCAAATTTTAAAGAGATAAATACACATTCTCAAATTTGAAGTTGCATTATTCACCCATTTATAATACTTTTTTTAGTCATTAACATTATTTTCTAATATGCATTCCTTCTTCTGAGACCGACTGGATCAGCTGATATAAAAAAACTGTGTTTCATAATAGTATGAATATTTTTATATATAGTTTAGTATTTATAGTTATATTTTCTCAAAAGTATTTCGACTAAAATGGTTATTTTAACACTTTTTTACTTTTTATAAATATATTTTACTACTTATTATTATATTTTATCAAATACTTTATTTTAGTATGTTTCAAATAGTATTATTATCAGTTTTTTAAAAATTTAGTAATTATAATTAACTATGAATACTACTAATTAAGAACTAATGATAAGTACTTCCTCCTTCGACAGATTTTTCATGATTTTGCTCCTAGGATCACCTCCGTTCAATCCTACAAAATAATATCAAATGAAGAAAATAAATTGGTGGAAGGACTGTAGTTTATTGGTTACAGTTTAAACCTTTTTACATTCAGGTATTAGGCTCGAAATCGAGACAATACAATTTCTTGCATAGTATCGGATGCAAGTTTATCGAAGTTTTTCAGAATACTGCATGCATAGCTGTTAATCATAGTCGTCTGCTGCGGAGTGGGTATGTTCATCGAGGGTATCGTACATGTAGAATTGTTTGTTGGTCCAAGTGTTCCGGAAGAGCTTCATCATGGAATCATCTGTGGAGTCTTTCATCAAGATCCCTATGTTGCAGCTAGTTAATCATCATATTTAATAGAGTTTATTTTATCTGATGTTTTAATTGCTACCCAATGTTTTACGAAATGAAATTAATGATTTTAGTCTTAACTTAAATTGGTTTAGTTATAATTGAATTTTGCTTGCTTTAATTGGTTCAACTTGTTTGATAAACAGTAAACGGGATGTATGGTTTATAGATAATTAAAAATTGAACTATCAATTTAGAAATTAAATATATTTGTAATTATTATTTGTATTTACAATGTTAAATTCATGGAGATTTAATATAAGGACAGTTAGATGGAGATTTGGTGTTATATAATAGTTGTCATGGAGAAATACTATTTTAATTTTTAGATTCTTTACACATGTAGAATTTTATTATTTATTTGATTAGTGATCTAATAAACATAAATAATAGAAAAATAAGTACAATTTTTAATTCATGAGATTTAATACAACAACTTCAATGGAGATTTGGGAATACATGATAGTTGTCGTTGAAAAATAGATGCTAATCTTAGATTCTTTATACATGTACAGTTTTATTATTTACATATTTAACTATCTAATAAACATAAATAAATTTCCAGTTGATTATATAAATCTTGAATAATACGGTATAGGCTTCAACTGATACATTACTGATTCAAAGGATACGTTCTCGCAAAAGTTTTTGAAAAAGACATTACATAATATTCATCTTTTTTTTTAAGTTTCTTGGTAAGTTCTTCCTTTCGCAATATTGATTCATTTGTTTTCCAAATAATATTCGTCATCAGTGGCAATAAATGGCACGCCAACAACGGGCACACATTACTATATAACTTGACTCATCCCATCATCCCATAAGTCCAATTCAAAACACATAAACAGTAAACAACACAAAACTCCAAGAGAAAAACAAAGATGGCTTCAACATCAACACTTCTAATGAAAACAATTTTCCTCGTACTCCTTTTTGTCTCTTTCGCAATCTCTCCGGCAATTTCAACAGCGCCGGAAGAGTGCGGAAGCGAGTCAGCTAACCCGTGCGTCAACAAAGCTAAAGCTTTGCCTCTCAAAATCATAGCCATTGCCACAATCCTAGTAGCAAGCATGATTGGTGTTGGAGCTCCTCTCTTTAGCCGGAACGTGCCATTCCTTCAACCTGATGGGAACATTTTCACTATTGTTAAATGTTTCGCCTCAGGGATTATTCTAGGAACCGGTTTCATGCACGTTTTGCCTGATTCTTTTGAGATGTTATCATCACCGTGTCTTAAAGATAACCCTTGGCACAAGTTTCCATTCTCCGGGTTTCTCGCTATGTTATCCGGTCTAATCACTTTAGTCATTGATTCCATGGCTACAAGCATCTATACTAGCAAGAACTCAGTTGGTATCGTACCACATGGGCATGGTCACGGCCCTGGAAATGGTGTTGCGTTACCAACAAAAGATGACGATTCAGGGAGTGCACAACTCTTGCGATATCGAGTCATTGCTATGGTTAGTACACATATGGACATATTCAAAACCAAATATTAGTACTTTATCCTTTTAAATAAAATATATAACTGAATATTAATCTTATTAATATATAGGTATTGGAACTCGGAATCATAGTTCACTCTGTGGTCATTGGACTATCTCTAGGAGCAACAAGTGACACTTGCGCCATTAAAGGACTCATCGCAGCTCTTTGCTTCCATCAAATGTTCGAAGGCATGGGTCTTGGTGGTTGCATTCTCCAGGTATATAAAATTATATTCTGTCAAGATGTTAGAATTATAATTAATAAAATTTTAATGTTTGAGATGTTTTCAGGCCGAGTATACGAACATGAAGAAATTTCTCATGGCGTTCTTTTTTGCGATAACAACTCCATTCGGAATAGCGTTAGGGATCGCTCTTTCGACAATTTACAGAGACAATAGCCCCAGTGCATTGATCACTGTTGGATTGCTCAATGCATGCTCTGCGGGATTGCTCATTTACATGGCGCTTGTGGACCTTCTAGCTGCCGAGTTCATGGGACCAAAGCTTCAAGGTAGCGTCAAAATGCAAATCAAGTGTTTCATTGCAGCTCTTTTAGGGTGTGGTGGCATGTCGATCATCGCCAAATGGGCTTAACTAGTCCCCTGGATAGTACTGCGGAACTAAAGTCATGTGGCTTTTGTTGTCGAACTAAAAACCGTTTTCGGTTGAAGTCTCGATTCTTTGTCGTTTTTTTTTCTTTACAAGATAATTGTCTATCATATTTAATATCTTTGATATAAATGTATTGTGATTGGTCCCATGAGTGTTTCCATTTGTTTTGGGGTAATTGTTCTTGTCCTATAGTATCGCATTTACATAAATAAGACTCTTTTTCAAAATTAGGAAATTGTAGAAAATAGAGTGATTTGTTACGTAATCCTAATTCGGCAAGCTAAATGCCAAACATTGGAACATTAGTCTGTGTATAAGTAGGCCGGTACACCGAACACATGCCAATTGTTAACAACATGCGCATACCATACTGCTTCAGTTCTGAAATTACTTTTCTTATCTGAAGCGTATTTGGAGAAATATTGATATGTAATAATGTTATTGGTTCCACGAGTCTAGAGTCCTTTTTAATGTTCCATTTATTTATTTATTTATTTTTCTTTTGATTAGCTCTTATCGTGTTTGTTTATTTAACAAGGTTACAATATCACGAAAAATAACTAACTACTGCTGTGTAAGCTCGGTAAAGCTACAACCTGCAGGCCAATAAATGAAACAGTATCTATAGAATTACGCTAGTACATAGGCCTAGCTGAGAATTAGGCCATGTTTAGGCCCATCGTTAATTTCCGTGCATACCAAACTGCTTCAACTATATTTACAGGGTCTAAGATCAGTTCTATGCTGGGGCGGCTCATATAGAGAGGCTGTAGGAGAAAAGAAAAGCGAGATCGGCAGATGTAATCGGTCCCTATAAAATTCATGTCCAATTATTTTCTTGGAAAAAGTTAGCCTGATAATACTAGCAGCCCATTTAAGAAGTTAGGCGATTAATAGTGTTAAATCAACAAATACTCAGTTACCCCTTGGTCAACCTGATATACATTAGACAAAAAAAAGGAATAGTGTTAGATAACAACTTAGGATGAGAAAAATAGAGCTTACTGTTAGGTTGTGGTATAGCGAAACTACGAATAAAAACATGATTACATGCATAGCTATTTTAACGAGTAGATTTTTTCACGAAAATATAAATAAACTTTCATCAAACAAAAATTGAGTTAGTAGAAATAATATTCTATTCATATAATTTGATAGTATGATAATAATATCTTAGACTCCTCAAAATCAAATAATTTACAATATAAGATAAAGTAAAACTTATTTATTTGAAAAGTAAATTTTCTAAGTTGTCAATTGTTCGATGATTTTAGTTAATTTTTCTTATTTGCCATGTTTTAAGAATTCCATATATAATTCATTATATGATAAAAACAAATTATATTAATAACATTATATTTTTTGAAAATAAGATAATTCTTATGTATTAAATTGACAAACCGTTACCACCATTTTCCATGTTTGGTCCGATTTATTATGAACCAGATTAAAAAAAAACCCAGTTTTCTCATTTGTTTTTTTTTTTGTGTGTGAACATTTGCCTATTTAATAATTTTGTAATCTATACTACTATTTGAGAAGTAAATTTAGTTAGTTGTCAACTTCACCATGATTTTATGTAATCTTTTTATTTACTGTTTAAACAATTGAATATATAATTTATTATATAATGAAAACAAATTTGTAATAATAATATCATATTTTTAGAAGATAAATTAATTCTTATGTATTATACTTTTATCTTGAAAATATATCTATACTATTATTTGAGAAGTAAATTTGCTTAGTTGTCAAACTTTTCATGATTTTAGTTAATTTTTCTTATTTGCCATGTTTTAAGAATTTCATATATAATTTATTATATGAAACAAAAGAATTACATTAATAATATTATATGTTTTGAATAAGATAATTATTATGTATTAGAGTTTTATCTTGAAAATATATTTTATATTATAAAATTTAAGTGAATTTTCTGATTATTTTTCATGTTTTTAATAATTATATATATAATTTCTAATATAATAAAAATGTTTTTAATAAGATGTTTATATTTTTAGAAAATAAGATATTTCTTATGTATTATAGTGTTATCTTGAAACTAATATTTTCTATTGTAGAAATAAAAAAATAAGATATAAAAAATTATACTTAAATATTAATCAAGCAAAACCTTTGTAGAAATATATTTTTAAAAATATTCTGCTATGTGAGTGTTGTCATTTATAATTAATTTAAAAACATAAATCATAACTTAATATGTTATTTTTGAATTAACAAAATATAAAGTAGATTTGCTTAATTGTCAATCTCTCCATGATTAAATAATTTTTCTTATTTTTCATGTTTTAAGAATTTCCTATATAGTTTATTATTTGATACAAAAGAATTATATTAATAATATCATATTTTTGAAAATAAAATAATTGTTATCTTGAATATATTTTATATTATAAACTTGAAGTGAATTTAATGATTTTTAACTTTTCCATGATTTAGGTAATCTACTTATTTGTCATATTTAATAATTTCATATATAATTTATTATATAATAAAATTAATTTTATTAATATTATAATATTATAGAAAATAAAGTACCTCTTATGTATTATATTGTTATCTTGAAATTAAAATTTTCTGTTATATATATATATATATAATTAAGATATACAAAATTATACTTAAGTATAAATCAAGCAAAATATTCTTATAAATATTTATTTTTTAGAAAAAAATTGTTGTGTGACTATCGTCATTTATAATTAAGTTGGAAACATAAATCATAATTTAATATATTATTTTTGATTAATAAAATAGAAATTAATAAATATTCGTAAGAAAATTATGTTCGCATGTGCAGTAATACATTTTATAATACATACTTTTATGATTTCACATTTTTGTTAAAGGGTTTGTTTTATCATATAACATACAAATATGTATACTATAACTTGTTTGTAAATTTTAAATTATTCTATATTTTGATTTTTTTTTTATTTTTTGGAGCAACTCTATATTTTGATTATATTATCACTATCAATCAATCCAAGCAATAAATAGAGCAAGTACGAACAGCAGAAAAAGAGCGAGAGGACATTGAGATACGTGATTTAACAATCCTGTGAATTAATTTCTTTCTGTTCGAACCCCTCCCAGAGTCGTACCATTTTCATTTTGGTCACTGTGTACGTCCATTAATCCCAGTCTAGGAAAATATAGACAAATTATTGGATAGAGACATGGCAACGTTTCTTGGACGCAATCATCGAAGTTTGTGAATTCAGACATCGTATTCATCGTTCTAATTTGGTTTTTATATTCTTTTTCCTTTGTCAACAACTTTGTTTTATATATGTACAAATTATAGAATTTTAAACCTATTTCAGTGGGAGGAGGGGCCTCTTGTCTAGACATGCACCGCACATGATATGATCCGAATCTGAAATATCTATTACACGACAACTATAATGACCATGAACTGAAATTGTCGTTGAGGCAATCGAATTCAGACTCTTTATTTCTTTGATAATTTAATTTATTTCGATAGCGAAGTATGATTCTTCTTCTTTTACATATTTTGTGGGGTTGAAAAGATAATTGATACTGACAATTGCAAGAGTATATATAGCTTTATAATTTTTCAATTTATATCGACATTCTGCAAATCTAAGAAAATAGAGTTAGGTAATTCAAACTCATGCAATTCACTTCTTGTATAAAGTATAACCAACCTACGGTGCAACTTAAAACAACTTTTGGAATATATAAAATAAAACAATTATGATTGTTTCAGAAAAAATCCAATTATAAAAAATGTTATCTCTTTCCTTCTACATTTCCTATACATAATGAGAGAGTAACGTTTTCAAGTTGAATTATTTCATCTTTTTGCAACTTTTATTCGTGGATTCCATCGAAGTCGTAAGATATAAAATCAAGAATTCCCCTTTACAAAAAAAAACTGTACTTACAAAAATAAAAGAATTATATAGCTAAACTTTCTAGAGAAACAAAATACGAATTTAATACAACTAAAAAAGAAGAAAAACAAATTAAGACGACATGTTAACATGTACACTAGCGTTCATGACCGAATCACAAACCGGACAAGTTCGCAACAAAGCCGAACCACAAACCGTACACAAACACAAATGACGACAAGGTAACACCAACACACTCGCTTCTCTCTCACCGCACCGCTTGCAACCGCCACTAACCGCTGTAATACCTTCACCACCTTCTTCGCAACTTCCGCAGCTCGACTCCACGTCGTTTTCTACAGCGTTTGGTACCGTCTTGATTTGAGCAAGAACTTGGTCTAGGTTTGTCCGAAGATTGTTAGCTTGTGCTTCGTTGGTCTGAGCTATATCTCGCCATATTTGATTCTCAACGTAAAGATTCTTAACCCGCTCTTGTAAAACATAATTAATGTTTCTCATCCGTACGATCTCGTCGTCTTTCTCTTTTAACTTCTTGGCTATCGCGTTTTGAACCGCAGACGCTAACATCCGCGTTTGAGTTCGCTGACGAGATTCAATCTCTATCCTAAGCTTCTCTGTTTGCTGAGCTACGAACTGATCAATCTCCAACTGTTGTTGGTTTTGGATATGCGAGACTAGTTCAGCGTTTATCAGTGATGATGGTGAACCAAACGCCTTGGACCACCTCCGTTTGAACGCAGACGCGTAATGGGCGTCTGAGTCAAGGTATTGAGATTCTCGCGGACGTTTTGTGGACGGTGGAATAACGTTTGATGAGTTGAAATTGTATGTGAGACCACTTTCTGTTTTGTTAAAGCTAGCTTTAGCAGCTGCGTAAGGATCCACGGGGAGAGTTTCTCCGGTGAAAAACTCACCGTGGTTCATGTCTTGTTTGTAGTTAACACAATCTCTGCATGTAACACAAAAAAAGATTAGAGGAAGCTTTGGAAATGAAGAGAACACACAATATTTTTTTTTCTTTTGAAGAAGAAGAAAATAAAAATCAGTTTTGGAGAATTCTTTTTACCTGTTTGATAACAACTGAGGAGAGAAAATGTTCATGTGGGGAGCTTCAACAGCCATAGATACGTTTGTTAAAAAAAGGCTCCGAGAGACTATGGAACAAAGGGAGAGAAAGAGAAGGAGAGTTGTGGTGACAGGTGAAGAAATCTACGGGGATTGGCTTTTATTTAAGGGAGAGAAAAAGTCAAATTTTTAATTTTCTATAAATTTGTTTCCTATTTCTCTAGTATGAGTACTTTTTTTAATATATTTAGTTTCCTAGCAAATAATTATCATTTCTAAGATAAAGACAACTTTTATGGTTAGAATTACCATTTTTGTTTGATATGCTTTTAGATATTATTAGAATTAATTTTAATTTATAGAAGTTTTGAAATTCATGAGCTTAAACAGCATATTTACTTATATATTTATATATATAGACAAATATATATGAGATATCTTTCTTGAAATTCACAATATTGGGTGTGGAGAGTAAAATTGTGTAATATTTTTCTAATGTTTCCTTTTCTTTTTGATGCACTCATGTATGTTTCCTTAGCACACAAACGTATGTCACAGACTAGATTGACTAGTCAAAGTACCAAGTACCATTATAGTGTCAATATTTTATTTTGTATTACTCTAAAACTGTAACATTAAAATAAGAAGAGTGTATACAACTGTTTTCCAATCCAACTTACGTTCATTGTATTGTGCCTACATCAATCCTAGTTTAATCTCTTTTTCAGTCGACCCATATCTTCTTATTATATTTCCCTTTTAGTGATAACTGTAAATATGATTTATATTAACGAAATATTAATTAGGCAATGTAAGAAAAAAAAATATCTACTATTCTTCATTTTCAGTTTTAGTGATTTAAAATTCCAACTACCGTGAACATATACCATTTTTTATATATTTCGAGAGCTGATATTTTTAATACTTTTGAGGTGATTCATACTTTATTTTCTCAAATTCAAAAATATATTGTAATCACATCGATTATGTCTTAAAGAAATATCATTACAACACGTGTACTTAAGCAAAAACATTATCAAACAAACAAATAATATTCTATAAGAAATTTTCTAACATACAACTGTGCGTCTAAAAAAACTCAGTTAAAAAAAAACTGTTCGTCAATATTAGATTAATAATTAGGTCAATGGATTGAGATAACTGTGCGTCGAATCAGTTATCAAATTAGCCATCCCATGACTAAAAACCATGATTTTCTTTTCTATTTACCACAACTATTTACGGCAAGTATAGTAAAGTTGCACGTGCGAAACGTTTGTGTCCATGGATGTTAAAAACTTAAAATCTCGGCCACGTCTAAGTGGGACCAACCAAGCTTCCTTTCTCTTTTCATTTTCGGTGAAACTATACTAAAAGTTTTTATATCAATATTGTTTCGGTACCACCATTTTGTTTGCTTCCTCACTTGTCGTCTCACGTCGCTTTTTAATTTATTATTTTCCGGATTAATAATATACTAATAAATTAAAAAGGTGAAAGAGAACATCGGAATCATCCGATAATGTTTAAAGTACGGACAAGTAGGTGTTGTCAGAAGTGAGTGATTTTTCCTCGGTGTGGGACAGGTCGACCACGAGAAAAGAAAAGGTCCTGTTTTTCTTACAGTCATGCGTGTCTATCTCTGTTTAATTCTTAATACTTTTATGCCACTAAACCTTATCCTGATGCGAATCTAATGTACATATCAAATTTTTAATGCATCTTTATCGTTTTATATATTAAATTTGGATATTGTAATATCAAAAGCTACTATACCGATATGATATAATTTTATAATTATAATGATATCTTGATTTTCTTAATTAAACATTTTCAACAGGTAAGCGGGACGTCGATTTCAACTAAATATATTCGTATGTCGTTTAAGTTTGATAACAAAGTAGTTATGAATATAGTTTTCCTTATTAAATTTCCTATAAGACCAAAATACCATTATTTTCAGTAAAAACAAATAGTATGTTTATTTTAATAATTCATATAATTATTTTATATAATAATACTGAACAATATTGTAATATAAGTTTTGGCGTGAACCAAACTCGTAGAAAAAGACATCTTTTGTTGTCCCTATTTTCTATCACCTTCGCTTGTATTTATATTTTTGTCAACATATTCGTTTGTCTAATAACTCGAGTTTCTCCATTGTCAGACTATGCGCCTAACATCATCACTATCTCAAAACTCGTTCAGAGCTTTTTATCTTTTTAGAATAGACTTTGTCCCATTATATGTGCGTTTTTATATTCCTTTAAATTCATCTTCTCTAAATATTGATTTCATAAGTTAGACAAACGAACAAGAAAGAGTGAGACCTACGTGGCCTTCGTGCTTTGAAGAAAACGTGATAAGATGAATAATATATTAGTATTACTTATGTTTAGCCAAAATAGAGATATAGTGTGAATTGAATTCCTAATCGTATATATAGAATATATACGTCGTCGTCAAATGCAATAATTTAATACGTATTAATAGATTCCGTCACGTCGCGGATACGATGCACCTTAGTTTTTTCAACTCATTTCTTGTCTTTGTATATTTTGTCTATATTACAGTTGAGAATTTTTTTTTGTTTTTTTTTTTGTTTCTTATGGTGTGTGTTTACGTATGCATCTATAACAGATTTACATTTATATTTACGTTCATATTGATATAAAGAGAGGGAAAAGACGAGAAAGAGGAAGAAAGAACCAGTATAAAGTGTGTTGAAAAAAGCAAATTGGTCCATACTTATCAGCACCAACTACTAGTAGGTGTCGTCAACGAGATTGATCCACAGCGGCTTTGGTTTAACTTATGGCAGATTAGGACAAGTCGGTTCTTGAAGTTCACGACTTCACGTGTCACTTTATTATTTAATTGTTCTTTGATTCGTCTAATTTGAGGGTTAATTAGTATACGACAGAAAATGAGGTTGGGGTTTCGTAAGAGACATTACACATAGATGCAAACGGCCGGACCCGAGCATCGTGTAAGAGAAGAAAACACGGATATATATTAATAAAACAAATGAATGTAGGAACTCCCAATTATAGTCTGTATTTATACTTCAATAAAGTAAAGGTTTCTTATAGCAAGTAGATGCTATATACTAAATTAAATAGTGCTTTCTAGCTTGAAGAAGGGAGAGCATATAAGGTCAAGATTTTTGTGTACTTTTTAGAAACACATGCAAAGCGTAAAAATTATTAGTGGAGACTGATCAGGACCTACGGCTAATATGTTTTTAGTATGATAATGATATATACTTAAAGCAAAAGTTATATAAATGCATAATCATATAACCAATTTCTAGATTTTTTTATTTATTTTGTAAATGACTTTTTTAGATATTCACGGACGATGGCGTTCTTCTTTTAATACAACACCAGTTCATAAACGTTTAACAGCAAGTAAGCAACATTTGTGATATTGTTGAGCAAGTAAGCAACATTTTGGGATATGCTGCAATTATTCGGTTACATGTGATTTGCAATCACTATATTATTACACGGTATTTAGATTGTGAAACCGATTCAAATCAGATACAGTTTACTCATTTTATCCGACAAATTTGTCAATTACTTGATGTGGGTTTTGCGTGTCAATCCAAGCATGTGCACTAAAGGTTTGAATTCAGATGGTAATACTAGCTAGGATGACCCTAATATAAACCATTAGATTACATGTCATATTCTATACATATGTTATTTAGTTATAAAACTTTAGAAAACATGGTTTTGTTACTATTTGTGAATTATTAGGTATATATAGTGAGACTTAAGTAATGAACCTTAATGGTGCGAAGCATCGGAAAAGGGTTAGAAAAGGATTCAAAACTGGTGGATTACACTTGTATAATAAAAAGGGACTTTGCCTTTTAACCTGATTTTCAAGTGATCGTTTGATTATTTATTATATATGTTACTTATTAAACAAAGGTATAGAGTAATGGATTATGCAATTATATTCTCATATCTCAGCATCTTTTCCTTTCCACCTTCCTTCATGTTTGCCGAGGTCATTGGGACAAAAGAAGGAAAGTGAGATAAAAGTGAACCAGTTTATAATGAGAAAGTGCACAAACGTGATACTTTAGGAGTATCTTATCTGTTTTTACTAACTCTTTTCTCTGTTTTTACATTAGGATTTGATTTTTGACTTTCTGACCTTATAGTGAATATAATCGATTTAAATCCAAATTTAGTTCCGGTGTTGATTCACCATAAAATTACTTTTGCTTACAATTTTATACTTTCTCAAATTCCATAAGTTTAATTTGGCTATGTTTCCTATAAAACAAAAGTAGATCAAAGGATTCAAAACAATATATAAAAAGTAATCTCATAAATAGCATTTTTACATTTTATTACAAAATGGCATTCAAATTTTTTTTTTTTCAAATTAACATTTATTAATTAATATTAACCCTAATCCCATCCCCTAAATACTAAACTCTAAACCAAAATATATAAGTATATTTGTTTTTACTCTTTAATGAATTCTATTGTAGTGATTTTCTAACTTGTGTATTATTAAAAAAATTTAATGCTATTTGTATATATTTCTTTATATATAATACAACCTTTTTGCAACACAATGACAACCTTTCAAAAAACGAATCATACAATGATACAAACTTTACAGAAGGATACAGAAATCATTTTTTATTTATTTCAGATTTATATCTTGGCTTTGAATATTCATTTACAAAAAATACATTTCTGTTATTTATTTATTTTTTCTATGAAGTAAATGTTTTATTTTTTTTTGCAAATGTACAAGCAATATGTCAAAATGGATATACATATATTCATCAATAGATGTTATATCCGGTATTATTTTGTTTTCTATAGGCAAATTTACTACTATAAATCATTCGTACGAGTATACTATTATTATTTTTTTCTCAGTCACGTTGATTACTCCTTTTGTTTTTGTCAACTTTGTCACGTTGATTACTCAATTAAAATATCACCATTGATAGACAAAAAATAATTATCATCAAGAATAGTTGTTAACGACTATTATTATAAACAGAAAGCTAGAATTAGGTCAGATTGATAGTCATTACCATCATCATCAACATCATCGCCACCTATCTAAGATCCAAGAATGTAAATGCACTCCATAATTTCTTTTCCCCACCAATCCCGCCAATTAAGTTTTGAACACGACGTCGATCAGATCTAATCACACTTAGTCTATCAAGTATCTTTAGTTTATATATTTTCATATATGAAAAAATGAAGGACGTACGTATTATGTGATTACAATGTCATGTTTTGGACAGACATCGACGACCGTGCTAATCTTAAAGTCAATATGCCTTAAATTTATGACCAATGCTTCCGTATGATTCGGTTTACACTACACTAATAGTACGTGGATATTTGGACACTTATTAAGACTTTGAATGATTAATAATTTTTTTGACAAAAAATTGAATGATTAATACAATGATAACCGGCTTCGTTATTTTAAATAGTTTTTAATATATCAAAATTTCAATAATATAGTTAAAGTATTGTATTATACTATTTACAAGCTCTTTTAAAATTATTCTAAAGAGGAAGATGTTCTAACACATCATGCAATAAAACAAGCTCTTTTAAAAATACTTTTAAGACGAAGATGTTCTAACACACCATGCAATATACGTGTATAGATTAGTGTTTATGTATAGATCATATTCCATGATTTTATAAGAATGATAAAATGCTCTTTTTGACAAAAGATAATACATTTTGTTTGACAACTGACAAAACATAAATAAAATGCTCTTATCATCGAAATTACATTAAGACCAATCGTTAAAATAGAAGGGAAATTATAGTTATAAGGAACCAGCACTTTTATAGTCTCAAAATTTAGCAAAAACAAAATTTTAAATTATATTCTCTCCATTTCATAATATATGATGGTTTGGTTTAGTATACATAGATTAAGATATTTACATTCTTTTAAAAAAGTAATTTAAAGATATAATTATAAATTTTTATTGGTTAAATAGTTATTAATAAAATTGAAGTTAATTTTAAAATATCAAAATTTACTTTAAATCTCAAAATATTTTATATTTTGAAACATATACTTTCTAAAACATTATATAAAAAAACGGAGGGAGTAATCGATAATAGTCCATAAATGATTATATACGAGTGTGACAATACGACACACACATGTCCCATATAGGGCAATTAAAATCACGAGATTTGTCAACAATAATAATGCTCAACTACAAATGTCATAGGAGGGGAGGGCCAAATATCTAAAGTCGAGTTACGTTTGCTATGAACAAAATGTGGGATGTTCTTTATTTATTTGTGTACAAGTAAACTAAAATTTGAGTTGTTCAAAAAAAACAAAAAAAAGTAAACTAAAATTTGAATATGTAAATGAGATAGGGACAAAATTGATTAGACGTTCTACGATGGTCTTCTGTTTATATTGGCTTTTGATTGTTTCTACACTTTTGTGGACCAATTCATGTTTGTTTTTTTTTAAAAGGACCAATTCATGTTTGAAAATTTGGATTTAGTAGCTAAGAAGAATTAACAATCTAACCAAAATTCCTTTCTTTCTCCTATCTTCTCTTTCTATCTCTTTTTAAAAATATTTTTTTATGGTTATTTCCTTCATGTTTTCGTGTAAACTAATAAATTTAAATATTCAAACAATCAAACTACTTTGTTATTTGGCCACGAGAGTTAAAAGTTTCTCTGTAATTAAACTTATTTTTTGACGACCTGTAACCAAATTATTGTACTAAGTTGAATTTACAGTATCTTGTACTAGACTAAAAATTGAGACTTCTTTTTACCAGCAAAATCTTAGCCGACAGGAAGTCTGAAGAGCAACCGGTAGATTAAAATGAATGTTTCGATCAAAATATGCTTTGTTACACCTTAACAAGACACTAATACATTTGATTCAAGAAAGAAATGAAGTTGAACAAAAAATAAACTATCTAGGAAATGAATCACTAACATCTTTCTCTCTGAAATGTGAATATTGAATCTTATAAAGAAATCTATGTGAACTTAATTTATCAACAAATGGACTAATATCACACTAAAAGTGAAAACATAGGTAATTTTGAGGAGTATACTAAAGTAGTATCCTTTATTATCATATATTTTATACTCAGAAAATCCTGTTTTTATTTGTTGCCAAATTAGTAGTTTTTACACTTTTTAACTTGCTTACACATAATTATACTTAGTTGTTTTATTCAATTATACATATATTTTGGTCATAAATTACAGAAATACACACACAGATATATATATATATATATATACATGTTTAGTTATAAGGTTCTTTTATTGTTGCTGTTATTCTGGTTGTATCAAACTTTAATTTTTAAGACTTATCCGCACCATACAATAAATCAAAATTAATAGTGACACGAACACGATACTAGCCGTAGGCGACCCAACTGAGAGGTAATGGTAATGACGCCAACCACATATAGATCAACACCAACCAAACTAATTTGTTTGGATATTTTTTAAGCAGCCCAAAGATTCTATATTAGTCTTAGGCGGCTATGATAACTAAAACCAATCAAACTAATTTGTTTGGATATTTTTAGGTAAATGTCAATATCAGTATGACTCGTCTAAACCGATATATGTTGATAGGACTATTTTACTAATGATTCCTTGATATGCATGCATACAATTGTTTTTGAACTTTGCATGCACACTTACAGGCTATATAAATATACAAAATGGTAACAAATAGCAAATCTTTTAAAAAGAAAAACTCATTACCAAATCTTCTGATAAGTTATAAGATAATTTACAAAATGATTAACTAATTTATATTCTTTATTTTATTTATTGTAAGTTGTGAAAGAGAAACTATATATATGTATGTGAAATAATTCCAAGACTATGATCATGACAGAAACACAAACACAAACACAAAAACACACAAAAAGACCAACAAAAATTTCTATAAAGAGGTAAATGTCAAGCATGTAAATGTCAAGTATAACTTTACTGTATAAATATATAAAGATAAATAAATATAAAAAATAAAATTATTCAAACTCTCTTTTTGACTTTTCCAGTTTTGTGAAATACATTTTTTATTTAAAAATAATAATTTTGAAATCTGAAAATTCTTTTTTTTAGAGATATTTAAAAAAAAAATTCAATTGTAAATCTTAATTTATTTTTCTTTTTTTTTTACATTCTAAACTCACTTCCCCCAAAATCACATCCTCAATTCAAGACCTCGACTATATATTAGTTAATCCTATCAGTATAACCTATAAGTATTTTTTATCTTGGAAACTTATTTTATATCATTTTAATCATTATGTATTATACTTGTGATAAAAAGACTTTTTACTGCTAACATAAGATATTTCTATATTATTATATTTATTAGAAGAGTTCTCTATATGGCTGTATCCATCTGAAAAAGACTTCATAAGTTTTAACAATGTGAGAGATCCGTTCATTAAGTGATTTAATTAAAAATTCATTAGTATCTATACATTATAAAATATACATTTTAAAGATGAAGAATAATCTATGGACAATTATATAAATTACTAAAAAAATATTTACGGTAGAATTTACTCATAAATTTCATTAATATCATAAAACATATATATTTTTGGATTTAGAGTCACTCTCATAAACTGTAATAACTTAACAAATGAATATATTAACTAAAAATCTCTACAGTCCTAAATACTCCCAAATTCCAATCACACACCTAAGAGCATCATCAACCAAGGTGCTTAATAGGAGTGTTTAGTGTAGGTCCCACAAAAACCTAAAAATTAATTGCTTAAATTGTCTAAACAAGAATCTATTTAGGTGAGTTGTTTGCACTGTTTGCGAACCCCACTGATACATGGTGGTAATTGATTCGTTTTTTAATTTTTTTAGTCAGAAAAAAAATTTATAAAAAGAAAGAAAAAGTAAGAACCCCAATTAGAATTCATGGGTTAAAGATGCTTCAATAAATAGAGTTTTCTTCTATGAGCCCGAAATGGCCCAAGTTGATCTTTAGATATCATAGAGAATCATTAATAATGGGCCCAAAAGGCCTTTAATCACAACCAGTATAGGGACAAAAAAGTAAACTCTAATAACCAGATAGACACGTGGCAATTTGTTGTTGATAGACAATCGCGCAGCCGCTTCACTCTTGTGTGTGTGGTGGTGGACTCGTGAGTTCTCCCAGTATTAACTCTAAAAACACCTTTTTGACTTACAAATTCAAATCTCTCGCGCGACTGATAAGCGCCGTACACATTCCTTGTTTCCGCTCTCCTTCGCCATCATTGTTAGTGTTCTTCTTCTTCCCTTTCTCTAGTTTTCTGTTAGATATTAGGGTTTTAGGACCTCACTGTTGTAGATATTATCTAAATCCTATTATTGATTAAGTTTCTTTAGATGATTTGAATCTTTAATTGTTATTGGAAGATTTAAAACTCTATGATTCGTTAATAGGTATAATCAATGGCGACGACTCAGCCGTCGTTTGCTGTTTCCCCTGCGAGTAATCCGATTAGATTCGGAAGTTTCACGCCGCAATGCTTCGTCCGTGTCTCGAAACCGCCTTGTTCCCGGCGCCGGCTCGTCTCCACTACAAGTTTCCACCGGAAAATTGCTAGCGGCGGCGGTTTGACTCGATGCGAACTTCCGGATTTTCATCTATCCGCTACAGCGACTACTGGTTTGATTTTTCTTAATGTGATCACGCTAGATAAGCTTTTTCGAGGTTATAAATGTTGAATTGTTGTTTCCTCGATTCGTTTTTCTTTTCAGTAGCAGGTGTAACGACGGAGAACACATTAGATCAAATTAAGATTCCGAAAGGTGAAATGTGGAGTGTTCACAAGTTTGGCGGGACGTGTGTGGGGAACTCTCAGAGGATCAGGAACGTTGCGGAGGTTATAATCAACGATAACTCGGAGAGGAAGCTGGTGGTTGTCTCGGCGATGTCGAAAGTGACGGATATGATGTATGATTTGCTCCGCAAGGCGCAGTCACGTGACGACTCTTATTTGTCTGCGTTGGAAGGTGTTTTGGAGAAGCACAGGTTGACGGCACGTGACCTTCTCGATGGGGATGATCTCGCTAGCTTCTTGTCCCATTTGCATGATGATATTAGTAATCTTAAAGCTATGCTTCGTGCGATTTACATAGGTTCGTCGTTTTTTTTGTGTTTTATTTTTGTCTGATTTGGAAGGAAGAACTGATGTCTTTCTTTTGTTTTTGCAGCGGGGCATGCATCAGAGTCGTTTTCGGACTTTGTTGCAGGACATGGGGAGCTTTGGTCTGCTCAGATGTTATCATACGTTGTCAGAAAGGTTTGGATGATGCGTGTGGTATGGTAAATTAACTGAGGTTGTACGTTTTGTAACATTTCTGTTCATTTGATTGTAGACTGGTCTTGATTGCAAGTGGATGGATACTAGAGACGTGCTTATTGTTAACCCTACCAGCTCTAATCAGGTGGATCCTGATTTTGGTGAATCCGAGAAGAGACTGGATAAGTGGTTCTCCTTAAATCCGTCGAAAATAATTATTGCGACTGGGTTCATTGCTAGCACTCCACAAAACATTCCAACAACTTTGAAAAGAGATGGGAGTGATTTCTCGGCGGCTATAATTGGTGCTCTTTTGAGGGCTCGTCAAGTAACAATTTGGACTGATGTTGATGGTGTATACAGTGCAGATCCTCGTAAAGGTCTGTCCTAATCTTTTTTGGATCTGATCCATATTTTTTTATTTGCGTGCTGTGACTATGATATTGAGAAGACTTTTTTGTTCTGCAGTTAATGAGGCAGTGATTTTGAAGACACTTTCTTATCAAGAGGCCTGGGAAATGGTAAACCTAGTGTTCTTGTTATCTTAGATAATGGAGCTTCATCATGCCAACTACAGACTTCTGATCAGAACTTTCTTTCATGCAGTCCTATTTTGGAGCAAATGTTTTACATCCTCGCTCCATCATTCCTGTGATGCGGTACAATATTCCGATTGTGATTAGAAATATATTCAATCTCTCTGCACCGGGAACAATCATCTGCCAACCTACTGAAGATGATTATGATCTTAAACTTACAACTCCTGTTAAAGGTTTTGCAACCATTGACAACCTGGCGCTCATAAATGTTGAAGGGTAAGCTACCTTTGTCATGGATGTCTACATTTTCTTTATCTTAGCTTTTAGTGACAAGCCGGATTCATCTCATTGCTCTCTTAGTGACTGCCCACTTTCGAATTCATTTAAACAGTACTGGAATGGCTGGTGTACCTGGTACTGCAAGTGATATTTTTGGCGCCGTAAAAGATGTTGGAGCTAATGTGATTATGATATCACAGGTGCCCATATTTCTAACTCTACCTTAGTGTAATATCAAATTTTCTTCATTATAGTGGCAGATGCTGAGACCATTTTGATAATCATTGTTCAGGCTAGCAGTGAGCATTCTGTGTGCTTTGCTGTGCCTGAGAAGGAAGTAAACGCTGTTTCCGAGGCACTGCGATCGAGGTTTAGTGAAGCTTTACAAGCTGGACGTCTTTCCCAGGTCTCTCTCTCTCTCTAATCTTTGTTTTACTTTCCTTTGCAGATAACACAAGTACACATTTGATAATTTTGTCTTGGGAAGTTTCACTATTTTCACAAGTAGCATTTTCTGTTTCACAGATTGAAGTGATACCAAATTGTAGCATCTTAGCTGCAGTTGGACAGAAAATGGCTAGCACACCTGGAGTTAGCTGTACACTTTTCAGTGCTCTGGCGAAGGTGAGTATATTGCACAATGCTGTGTTCTTCTTCTTGCTAGTAAATCTTTTATACTATGTTCTTCTTGCCAAATTGCTCCCTCATGGTTGCTTGTCTCTGTATCTCACTTGCAGGCTAATGTTAATGTCCGTGCTATATCTCAAGGTTGTTCTGAGTACAACGTTACTGTAGTTATTAAACGTGAAGATAGCGTAAAGGCATTAAGAGCCGTACATTCGAGGTTTTTCTTGTCAAGAACGACATTAGCTGTGGGAATCATAGGACCAGGCTTGATTGGTGCGACATTACTTGATCAGCTGAGGGACCAGGTAACACTTCATAATGTTTTCCGTGTTTTTCTTTTATTTTATATTACAAATGTTATAGTATTACCTTCGTTCTGGGACTATTTGTCCTTTAAGAAGCTGATTAAGCATTAAATTACGTTTTCCAGGCTGGTGTCCTCAAAGAAGAATTTAACATTGATCTACGAGTATTGGGAATCACTGGTTCAAAAACTATGCTATTAAGTGAGATGTAAGTATGACTTCTTCTGACGCACTGTAGGATTTTATCTGAAAGACGTACTGATTCATTCTTGATGTTATGACTGCATATTATACTTTTCTCTAGGAGAGATAAATATCCTGAACCCTTGATAAGAATCCGTATGCAACGTAGATGATTTACCTAGTTTCCTGTTTCGCATATCTGGCCATTACTGTCCCTTATTTGTTATGATACAATCATTGAAATGCCTTCTCGGCTTTCTTCTCTACTATTAAAATGAGTAGAATCAATGCTTGTAAAACTGAAGTTCTCTGACCAGGTGATAACTCGGTTTCAAGCAGCGGACGATTTTTCTCTGTATTACCGCATGACCTGTACCTATGATGTTTATTGCAGTGGTATTGATTTGTCACGATGGAGAGAACTTCTAAACGAGAAGGGCACAGAGGCCAATCTGGACAAATTCACTCAACAAGTTCATGGAAATCACTTTATCCCCAACACTGTACTGGTTGATTGTACAGCAGACTCTGGTATTGCGAGCAACTACTATGATTGGTTACGGAAGGGAATCCATGTCATTACCCCAAACAAAAAAGCTAACTCAGGTCCTCTCGATCAGGTGATTTTTTAATCTCATCAAACTATATTTCTTTTGAATCTCTGTTAGAGAAGCTTTGTTAGGAAATGTTCTTGCCCTGTGTTGGTTTTTAACTTTACAGATGTTTATTTGTTTCTGTTCTCAGTACTTGAAGCTGAGAGACCTTCAAAGGAAATCATACACTCATTACTTCTACGAAGCTACTGTTGGAGCTGGCCTTCCAATTATCAGCACTTTACGTGGTCTCCTTGAAACAGGTGACAAGATACTACGCATAGAAGGCATTTGCAGGTAACGGTTCTGCCACATTATGACTCTGATTTGCCATCTGGTACTGATTCTGATGACCTGTCTTTGTGTTTTTGCTCCAGTGGAACGTTGAGTTACCTATTCAACAACTTTGTTGGAGATAGAAGTTTCAGCGAGGTTGTGGCTGAAGCCAAGAAGGCAGGTTTCACTGAGCCTGATCCAAGAGATGATTTATCTGGAACTGATGTTGCAAGAAAGGTAAATAGAGTATCAAACAACTGATGCAGCAAAGTTCTGGAACTGATGATAGTCTCTCTCAATTGAACCAACACTCTTTCTTTTGTGCAGGTGATAATCCTCGCTCGAGAATCTGGACTTAAACTGGACCTCACTGATCTTCCTATTAGAAGTCTCGTCCCAGAACCTCTAAAAGTAAACCGTCTTTTATATTATATCTCATTAACTTCAGAATTGCTGAGAAATCATTATCTTCATCTAATCCCATGTGTTCGTCAATCTACTTACAGGGATGCGCTTCTGCTGAAGAATTCATGGAGAAACTCCCACAGTACGACGGAGATTTGGCAAAAGAAAGGCTAGAAGCTGAGAACTCTGGGGAAGTAAGATCATTCGCCATAGTCGGCTGAATATCATTTCCTTCTGATCAATCTGATAATATTAACCATATGTATATATATGTAAACTCTTGATTCTCAGGTCCTGAGATACGTTGGAGTGGTGGACGCAGTAAACCAAAAGGGAACAGTGGAGCTTCGAAGATACAAGAAAGAACATCCATTTGCACAGATGGCAGGTTCAGACAATATAATAGCATTCACAACGACAAGATACAAGGATCATCCACTCATTGTCCGAGGACCTGGTGCTGGTGCTCAAGTCACGGCCGGTGGTATATTCAGCGACATGTTGAGGCTCGCATCTTATCTAGGTGCACCGTCTTAACAAGGTTAAAAAAATGATCAGTTTTGCTTATCTCCGTATTAAAAGTATCAGCTACGCTTCTACGAATCAACAACATTTTCCATGGTAATTTCTAGACTTGTTCGTAGCTGATCTTTGTTATTTTTGTGGTAAACATGTACAATAGCAACTAGTTTTGTTGGATCTGATGCCCTTTTTATGTTCTTTGTTTGATACAGTAATAAACGATTTGCTATTTAATAAAACGAGCATTGAGAATATTACCCGGAACTTTAATTGTATTACATTAATAGATATTGAGAAGATACAAAAGTCCATTCGTGAGTTACTGAACGGTTAAATCCAATCCTTGCTAGTTGTTCACATCCTATCGGTCATAGCCGCATAGGTTAAACTACTACTAACAATATGTATACATATTTGCTCTATGTAACAAATTATTATTGTGGCTTGACCTCGTGGACTATATAGCTGGTGGTTTTCCGGTCAACCTTGCATACTTATTCATTATTTCATTTTGACTTGTTTGAATTCAAACCAACTTTCTCTATTGTGGAAAAAACAAACAATGCTAATCAAATTGACATATTGTCCATTTAGTGCGTCCGACTAGAACTCGAGTTTCAGATCATCAGTTCTTGCAAACCACGTACTCACGTAGGCATGACTCGTCTTATACGAGAATCTGCTAAAATATGATACCAAACGTATCGGATAATGGATTTGTGCAGATTTGTTACTTAATAAAAGAAGCATTAATTACTTATGCTTCTTGCTTTTATTATCGTAATATCTTATTGTTCCCTTTTCCTTTGACAACATATACGCAAATAGTAACGCTTATTTGTTTCTATAGTGTATAGCCACTGAGAAAAATATCCCCACTTGCCGTAGTCGGGACAGTGAAGAAACCCTTAAAACTTCTGTATAGTTCTGGTCGTTGCCGCAGCATCCCATGCACGTGTCGCTGTAATATCCAAAACAAAAAATATTTCCTTATCAATCCATACAAAATAATAGTAAAGTATTTAAAAATTGGGATAAAACTCTTACCTGCACGAGATAGACCAGAATTATCGTCAGCACCAACATGCCACGAGAAGTAACCAAGCAAACCTCTCTGCTTAGCGTATCTCACTTTCGTCACGATACTCTGATTATCATCGTATCCAATCCAAGTCGTCCCTGCGTAACAATAATCTCCGACCACCGAGGAGTTATAAACCGTTGTTGCTCTGTTATCAGCTATAAACCTCCTAATCTGACCGTATCCGATAGAACCGTCCGCTGATATCGCCGCTCCGGTTGTAGGCGCGTAATAGCTGTGACTGTTTGCGTTTGAGAGACGCCACGCGTAGCCGTAGTATGGGAATCCCAAGACTGCTTTCTTCGCTGGAAGTCCAGCTTGTGTCCATGATCTTACTCCAGCGTCACCGCTTGGACCTATGATTAATCGGTTTAGTACTCAAACAAAACCGGGATTTATTCATATTTCCGGTTTGTGACCCATAAAGAGTTTTTAACCACAATCTCTCCCAATATATATTTAGTATTTAATTTGTGAATATTTTAAAAGTTCGAGAAAATATATAAAACTCTCTATAGTTTCATTTAATAGGGACATGAGTTTCTTAAATTTTTGAAAAATACTCACAAATTATATATAAATATTTTACTTTTAGATATTCAATTTGAGAAATTCTCCAACTCTTGGCTTGTTTTCTTTACAATTTTATATAACCCAAACTAAAATTTCCAACCGAAAGTAGGCTATTAATTTTAGAAAATTAATTGGTAATATGTTTTCACACTCATTAAACCAATTTTAATGCAAGTGAACCAAACATAACCGAAAAAATCAAAATTCATTTTCTGAAACAATTTTTTGTCTATATTTCCAAAGAGTTGTTAATGTATGTCCAAATTTATTTGGTTAGTTAGGTTATGGAAGCACCTGCGTTTGAAGGGTCATACAAAGCTGCTGGTGGACCAGTTACTCTAGACCAACCCGGTCCATAAAAATCATAAGCCATAAGATTAACCCAATCCAGACTGTCGGCAACCGCCTGAACGGGATACAAAACCGAATAGTAATTATTGGAGTAGAAAACCGCAGCCGCCAAAAGCAAACGCTGTCTACCACTGCTACTAGCTTCTGCTACAACCGCTGAACGCCATTCTCTAAGCAGCGTCCCAAAGTTGTTCATCTCCGTGGCACTGCTTGGATACTCCCAGTCTAGGTCAAGACCGTGGAAACCATTCGATCTCGCAAGCCTTATCGAAGAATCAATGAAAGACTTTCGAGAAGTAGGGTTACTTGCCATGGACGCAAACGCGGTTTTATCAGCGGCTCCACCGCCGATAGACAAAAGGGTTTTCACGTTAGGGTTTCTCCGTTGGACGGTTTGAGTGAAAGTGGAGAATTTCTGTTGGCTCGCGGAAGCGATGGTGATTTGATTGGTTTGAGGGTTTAGGTCAGCGAAGGCGCAGAAGAGGTGAGTGAAGAGAGATGAGTCAATGTCGGTGACGGGAAACTCACTTCCTGGGAACCAGTAGGTAGCTTTCACGACGGACTGTGCGGAGGAAGAGCTGAGGAGGAGAGAGAAGAAGAAAGTGATGGAGACAAGGAGAGAGACTGGTTTTGTGGAAGACATTGTTGAGTTTCTGTGGGGAACAAGAGTATGGAGTTTGCTGTCTATTTATATTGAAAAAAAACTATGGAGATAATAATCTCACGAAAGAGAAAAGTCTTGGGACATGATTTGCATTTCAATTTTTCAACACACAAGTGTCATACGAATGCGAAAGCTTGGACTAAGAGACAGGTAATCAAATTTTATTTTTGTTCAAAGTTGAATTTTCCACTCACGCATTCTATAGAATAGTCAAAGGCTTACGGTAGATTTTGTTTAAAATTATTTTGGTTGTATATTAAATGATTTCTTGTGACGCAAGAAATCAGTAAGTACTATAAATGGTAATGTGACTCATCGTTTATGGCGTCTCATGCTGAGAAGATCGATTTAGAAAACGAGGGTTCCAAGAGTAGAACCTTGTCCACTGGCGAGACGTGTGGGATTAAAGATGGTCGTGAAGAGTCGCTGTCGAACTGTAGAACACACATACACAACAAGAAAGAAACAAAGATTTTTTAAACCAATCTTGATAATATGTTTCTGCAAACGATCTATCGTAAGTCTTGAATATAAAACAGTTCCAGAGAGATTTATATGTCTATTGTATGATCATATAATTGGATAAAATTTTCCCAAAAAGCTAGCTCGAGAGAGAGAGGATTATTGGGTCATACGAGATAATCTCTATCCCACGTAGACATAACTTATCAGTGTAACAAATATGTTACATCTGGAATATGACAGTGGTTTCTTGATAAGTTTAAAATTGTACTGGTTAATTTTAATTTGAATTGAAGTAAATAAATAAATAATGGATCAAAATTGTAAATAGTAATGCGATTCAGATGCATACTACTTATCCTATGTTCTGGAATGACAAAGCGATTCAGATTTCATGCTTAATTACTAATATTACCTCGCTTTATTAATATTTGATATATTTTACTATTTATTTATCTTAATTTCATGAACACATTAAATTCATAATATAAAAAAAATCATAATTATAAATTCCTTTATATCCGACGAAAACTTGTTTCTACTTTTTTATTTCTGGCAAAAACGCATTTCCGCACAAGAGACAAAGTCATGAACAAACGTTTACGTTTTTTCAACACATTAGTGTACTATGAATGCGGAAGCTAGGACGAAGGGACACATAATCAACGTCATGTATATCAAAGTTGAATATTCTACACACGTATCCTATAAACCCAAATACAATGAACAAAACAAAGACTATCCAAATGCTTACGAATGATTTTGTTTAACTTCAATGTAACTGTATATTATATGATGTCTTGCCCGACAAGAAAGCAATGAATACTATAAGTGGCAGTATGACTCATCATTTAAGGCGTCTGGTGCTGACAAGTTCGAACCTTCTCCATTGGCTAGACGTGTTGGATTATTAATGATGGTCGTGAAGAGTCTTTGCCTGTCGACGAACTGCAAAATACACACACACAAGGAAGAAACAAAGTTTTTGAAACAAATCTTGATAGTACCTTTCTCTGCAAGCAATCTTATGATCTATCTCTTGATTGGTTCTCTAAAAATTTTCATCTTAAAACGGATAAATACGCAGTCCCACTTGCCAATACAATTAACATAGCGGCGCATCGTGGACTTTAGAGTGATGAAAGTCTATTGTGCCCGAAAGTAAAAATATAGACTGAAAGAGCAAGTATAGATCCCTAGGGTGGGTAAAATCTAGACCATGCCAAACTCTCACATGCCCAAACCAATCTCTTATTTACTTGATACCTTCTCCAGTCCAAATCACTTAGAGCATGATTATCCCTAAACCCTTTATAGGGTCTCTTAATTATTTTTTAATAGTTTTTGAAGTGTAAAAGTGAATTAAGAGACTTAGAAAGAAATTTGAACTTTTAGGTGTTTTATTGCAAGTTTCTTAATTATAGGTTCTTAAAAAAAATTGTATGAGTAAACTTTTTCTTTTCAACTCATATGCAGCAAAGACCGANAGAGCATGATTATCCCTAAACCCTTTATAGGGTCTCTTAATTATTTTTTAATAGTTTTTGAAGTGTAAAAGTGAATTAAGAGACTTAGAAAGAAATTTGAACTTTTAGGTGTTTTATTGCAAGTTTCTTAATTATAGGTTCTTAAAAAAAATTGTATGAGTAAACTTTTTCTTTTCAACTCATATGCAGCAAAGACCGATGAAGTAGTTTAAGCTTCAATGTCAAGTTTCCTACTACAGCTATAAATTTCAAAGCTAAAATTCGGTTCTAAAGAGCACACAAGACAATGTGGCTGCATGTACACAATCACAATACCTGAACGTTTAGTTTCTTCTGATTCTCAAGTTCTTCATCAAGCTTCTGCACACTGCATCATTTGAAACCATTGGGAACAATCAAACAAATTTGTTTCCCACTTTTGGAAGTAACGTAAAGAACAATCTCGAAAATGGTGGTTTATCTTAGTTATTACCTCTGCTCCAAGAAATGAACCTGAGAAGATAGAGCAGCCTCCCTTGCAATTTGTTAATTTTCACAACTTAAAAGGCTCTTATTCCTATCTTTAGCTCTGGCAATTTGACACAAAAAAAAACCCAAAAAATCAAATTCAAACGAATCATCCAACATCCAATGCATTTCCACCTACGACACATACTCACCAACAGTAGCAGCAAATAATAATCAAGTTACTCAATTCAACACTAACTTTTTCCAAGTTAAGAAGTACAAAGTTCTAAGAACTTTTAGTTACAAAACAGCAGCAAGCAAGTACCTTATCATGGTTCCTATGGACTTCATTTGCATCTGAACCGAAAGACAACTCCCGGAACCAATCTGCTGTTTCTGCAAAGATTAGATACAAGAGACAAGTCGAAATTTTCCATTAACAAAACCGACTTGTAAAAATTCAACCCATAAGGGGGGAAAAAAAAGTCTTATCATCAGTGGACACCATTCAATTCAAAAGACACAACCTATGCAAGATGCTGACAGTACAACCCCCTCGTTTCTTCATCAAATCAATAGTTCCAAACAAACAATTCAGTGATACAAATCAATAGCTAAGTCAAGCTCTAAGATAACTTCCAATAACAAAAAAAAAGAAGATATATTTGAGTGAAAATTGAACATACCCAGAAGAGGGAACGTCGCTCTGCGTCTTGAACTTTCCCTCGGCTAATGGTCCCTCACACCTCGCCGCGACGGAGGCAGCCTCATATAGCGAACGAAGATGAGAAGATCCAGAGCTAGCTGGTTAGAAGAAGAAGGAGGAGAGTCGGCGAGTTTCGGAGAGCTTTCGAAATCACGGTGGGAAAAGAGATCTCCTCGAGTGGATATGGATCGAGATGAGGATCGAAGCTACTTCCGTTAGTGATGACGACGGTCGATGGTGAAGTAGGAGAAACCGACTGATTTCAATCGGGAGAGAGATAGAGATGAGAGAGAGGAGGAGACTTTGACGCGTGTCCCATAAGAGACGTGCCTTCCTTCTCCTGATTAAGCGACGTTGTTTCAAATAAAAGGTAATTTTCATTTTTTTCTAAATCAAATTAATGCTAAGAGACGGGGTAGTATACCNGACGGTCGATGGTGAAGTAGGAGAAACCGACTGATTTCAATCGGGAGAGAGATAGAGATGAGAGAGAGGAGGAGACTTTGACGCGTGTCCCATAAGAGACGTGCCTTCCTTCTCCTGATTAAGCGACGTTGTTTCAAATAAAAGGTAATTTTCATTTTTTTCTAAATCAAATTAATGCTAAGAGACGGGGTAGTATACCTCGATAATGATGCTCTTACTAATACGCATGCTGAAGTAGCATCAACTTTTAGCATCTCCATGTGTGAGAGTCTTCATGTTCAAGTGGATCATACAAGCTTTAGACCATCTCCAACCCATCTATATAATAGAAACTTCTAAAATAAAGGAAAATATAGAGATGGTGTTTTTGCTCCAGTATGTTCCCCTATAATAGAAGAATATATATTTGTTTCTATAATTAGAGAAATGCTATTTTTTCTTTATATTCAAGAGAAAAACTATAGAGATAAATATAGCATTCCTCTATAAACACGTTAGAGCGAAAACATCATCTCTATATTTTTCTCTATTTTAGAAATCTCAATTATAGAAATGGGTTGGAGATGTTCTTAGAGTGTTGTGGGAGTCCTAACAATATCGGTTGAGTTTTGGATTATATCATTACATGAAAATGTGTTCATACGTTTGGTGGGAGAGGTTCTTGTGATGTACTCTGGTGGTATAATCACCCGACTAACTATTATCCCCGGAATGAACTGCACACTAGAACATTTCAAGCATCAGACTTAACCAGCATTGGTCAATGATGAAACAGAAATAAGAAAAAACTTTCATAGAAGCAGATAAGAAGTATGAGACATGAAAACCTTCTATCAGCTTCAAATACCTCAAAACCACATACAAGAAACACCAATTTGGCACCTACTTTGCAAGAACTGAAGAAATAATAGGTTATTTGATTTTACTTCTTGCATTTTATTTTATTTGCATTTCTTGATTAGAAAACAAATTTCCCCAAAAAGCTATTTATTCTAGACTAGTTTGTCTTCTGGAACTTTAGTTGCATTTCTTTTTTGCTCTCGGATAATCCATCCTTAAGTATTACTCAATACTAAAATTGAAAATATAAAAAAATTACAAATTATAAAACTTATTCAGAAGTAGTTGTCTAATAGTAGTCTTAGATTGACTTTGATATTCTTCGGATTGGGTTCACGTTAGTTCTAATCAGATCCAAATCCTTTGGATCTTAGATTCGAACCTAACTATTTACTTAAACTTTTTTGGTCCAGATTTAGATTGGTTCTTTTCGGATTCGAATCAATTTGGTTCTATAATTAAAATACATCTAAATACTTGTTGTTTCCATGTTGGTTTGAATATTTATGATCCAAAAAGATTAGAAGTATTTGAACTAGATCCGAAAACTCAAAAACTATCTGATATCCGAAATATATTTTTAATACCCAAAACATTCATAACTTATCTGAAACCCGAAGATCCAAAAAATATTCAAAATTTATATGAATACCTAGAATATAGTTTTAAATTCTAAAATTTTACATAAACCAAGGTTATATCCGAATATTCGAAACCAAAATATAAAATATATTTAATATTTAAAATATGTCTGAAATATCCAAATATACCTAAAAACTACAAAAAAACAGATATTTTAGGTATCCGGTCGAATTTTAGTAAAGCCTAACCAAACCAAATCTGCTGATCCATATTAAAGATACTCAAGTAATCCGGATCTGAACCAAATTTATATTGTTGGGTCGGTTTCAGTTCACAAAGATGCTTAATCTTTAAATAATTAGAACAAATAATTCATGTATCAGTTTGATTCTCCTCAAATCTTATAAATGGAGGAACCAAATTGATTAACACCAACTTATTTCGTTCTAATGAGCAAGGAATATTACTAAGACCATGCCCCCTCTGTTTCTCCCTCGCCAGCTGTCAGCGATATGGAAATCTCTGACAACAACAGATGCCGACTCCTAAGTTCTGGAAAATATCTACAAAATGAGTGCAGACAAGAATAATACAAAGTTGAAATTCTCACTTTCTTTTGGTTAAGAGTTGAAATTCTCACTTTCTTTTGGTTAAGTCTTAAGAGTAACCTCTTCTTTTATATTTTCTTACAATTATAATTTTTACGATATTACTATATATATTCAAGAGTTTATTGGTAGCGGGTACAGTTATTTCATGTGGTGTCTAACGTCTACTGTTTTGTTTTCAATCTATTTAGCAACTAGATAATTAATTTTATGAATGAAAAATTGTAAAACTTCTAAAAACTAAATATAATTTTTATATATAGTTCTATATCATATCTAATTGGAATGGATATCTAAATTTGTTGATCCAATCGAAATGTACAGTGGATCAAATAAAAATATAGGGATATTATACCATCCAAATTAAAGCTCTAGTGGTGATAGTGGTGGACCAAATAGTATATATTCTGAAACCAAAATCCAATGGTAACATTTTTAGATGCTGTTCTATTTATTACATTCATTTGATAAAAGTAATAGTTGATTTTATTATTGGGCATCCGTCCTTTGCGAGTTTCGTGTGTTTTCTATTGACTCTAGACTACTGTAAAAAATTAAAAAGGAAAATTCTAACCATCTGATTTTTTTTTTTGCTAAAATTTGGACCATCCGATGTTGCTAAAATTTGCACTTTACCACCAAAAAGATAAGAGCCCAGAAGATCTCAAACCAACAAGGCTAAATTTCATTTAACATTCTCTTACTCCCGTTTAAGAAGATTATGGAAATTGTTTTTTTTTTTTTTGATATTTTGGTTAATAAACAACAAAGATCCAACTTTTGCATAATATAAGAATAGCTTCATTTGTGGTTCTGATGTATAAGGTTAGACAAAATTAGAATCATAAACCAAAAAAAAAAAAAAGAACAAGGAAATAAAGTATGACAAAGAGAATAAGTTCTCCAAAACCCCTTTGGGCTATAAATTTAACTAAAATTATTTGTCAATCTGTAAACTGTGGTAACACATTCGAACCAAAAAAAGTTCAATCGGGAGAAGATGTACAAGAGGCTTACCAGTTGGGATAGGGTGAAAAAGGCTGAACCTGCTCTTTCTCAAAACAAAAAGGCTGAACCTACTCTACGTAACTATGAGGCCAGTCTCAAATATGCCAAGGCTCCAGTCTCGCCTTCCACTGAACAGCTACGTTCTGATGTTTTCCTGAAGACCAAGAATCTGGTTAGTACTCTTCTTTGAACTAGCTCACTTTTGTTTTCTATTTCGGGGAAACACGTCGACGATATCTTTATATAAACAAAATTGCAAAACAAAGTGTAGTCATATTTAAAATTTTAGATTTTATTTATATTGCAAGTAAACTGAAATGATTAAGTGCTTCTAGTAGAGTTTACCTAAAGGTACAATCGTAATTTTTCTTAATCTTATTATTTCTTGTTAGAAGAATGGAACATCCGTATATTTTTAATTTTTATGTAAGATAAAAAACAACATAGAAGATCCAGAACCGATCAAACTAGACTAATTATCAATATTTAATAGTGATTTTTTTATAAGGAAATGAAATTGAGACCACTGATCTTTATGTTAATATGGACCATTAATGCGTTCGTTGTGGTGATATGCATCTAGAACAACGGACATATCAAATCTTGGGTGGACGAGAAAAACAGCAAATGCTTCATGCTCTATCCAAGGAACCTCTCCATCACTTGGTCGGATGACCCCAACTACTGGACATGGTTTCCCAACAAGGAGTCACCAAAGTAAGATACGTTTAATCTAAAAACTCCCGCTATAAATAGTTCGGTCACCTGTGATCAGTGCTTTTATTAAAAACCTTTGATGATCAAACTCGAAATATTGATTGATTTACCCTAATATGTTATAGACCATTGAAGTATGTCTACATGATACAAAGATTTTTGTCTAAACCAACCGTTTTTGTTTTACAAAATTACCACAAAAAATCATTATATTCCAAACAAATCCACAATTATTAAGTCTAGCACGATTACGTAGATTATTAAATGATTGATGCATGAACTATATATCATTTTTGGACAAACTTAGAAACTATTATAAAAAGTATGTTTGTGGTATATTCAGATTTGTTTTCCAATATCTTGGTATTTTTGGAGTTAAATATTTTATTTATGGTATATCTAACACAAAGTGCGTGTGATTTATTTGATGAATTTAAAAAGTGAGGCAGGTGTAGAACTTGCGGCGTTGAAAAACGTGTGTTGGCTCGACATCACTGGAAAATTCGACACCAAGAATCTCACTCCGGGGCTTACGTACGAGGTGCTCTTTCAAGTGAAGCTAGAGGATCCGGCCTATGGATGGGACACGCCGGTGAACATTAAGCTTGTCTTGCCTAACGGTAACAACAAACCGCTTGAGCAAAAGGTGAGTTTAAGGGAAATACCAAGGCATCAATGGGTCAATATTATAGTCGGAGAGTTCAAGCCGGAGAAAAATTCCGCCGGAGAAATCACTTTCTCAATGTATGAGCATGAGTCTGGCGAATGGAAGAAAGGGCTCTTCCTCAAAGGTGTTGAAATTTGTCCTAAATATAAAAATTAATATGGGAAAATGATTTTCCAAATGCACACTGAACCGTTAGATATACATATCTATATGGAAAGAGTGTGCATGTATATGATAAGGTTAATCTATCGTACTATTACTTTAGATACCTACTACTTTGATGTTTGTATTGAATAAAACCAAAACCGAGGGTTGGTGTAATAATGTTTTAAGTTTGAATTCGAGTTTTATGATTTGCGTGTAAGTATGTAATAAATAATCCCATCAATGAACATTTGTTTTGTATGAGACCATAAGATCAGAGTAATGATCCGCCATATGTTTCGACCAGCTGATGAAAAAACAACAAATATATATATATACCCTAAACAGAATTTTTAATTTAGAATTTGATCGGTATGACGGTATATCAAATGAATAGTATAAAGTAGGTTCCAATTGAATAACTCAGTAGTTAATATATTTAAGTTGAACGGATGTACCGCTAAATAATCATGAAACACCATGAAATATTTTAGTAGATTAACGATACTTTTAATATTTTTAACATGTTTCAAGTACATATATAGAATAACTATAGCATAATGATCATTTTCTAACAACTTAAAATTGATGAATTTTTGAATGAAAAATAATAAGTAGTGAAATTGATATACACACCGTTAACCATGTTGATATATTTTATAATACATTGAAGTGATAAGAGCTTTAGACGGAAATATTAAATAATTAGTCTCAGAAGAATTTATCTTGACCTTATATACACCTATAGAGATATTCTCTGATTTAGATAGATACAAATTATTTACGATATCTTTAAGAGGTATTTTGAACCATTCTAATCTTATTACTATAATAAATAAATTGAAAACTAACCTTACTGAATAATCCTATATTGATTAGTGATTGAGTGGGGATGAGTGTGAGTCACTTCTTTCTCTATTTAAGTGGCGCCATGCAGTACTGCTCACCTTTTCTAAAGAGTTATTCGGAATTTAATTTTCGTGGTGATAATCGAAGAATAAAGCAAATGTATCAAATGGAAAGAATAAAGAATCAAACACGTTTGACAAGACATAAAAGAAATGGAATATATACCAGCTGAAATTTGGTTTGCGATGTATAACGTTGTTAAGTGTATATATTCTTAACTTCGAACAGCTTGTAAACAAAACACATTAATGTAGAAAAATAACTTAAGTTAATGAGTAATTTAACTAGTTATACGGATGGATCACTGAGGTCAGGTATATGAGTCTACAAAGACCTCAGCAATAGTGTTATTAAGAACAAATAACATCTTTTTTCTTGAGCATCTTTTTATTTTCATTGGTTTGATTCAAATAGAGAGAAAGACAAACTAAAAAGATCACACTAATGATATTAATTAGATTGTATTGATGATGATATTTGTTATTCAGAAGTACTGGATAGAGGGTAAAGCTAAGAAGATCTGCTTCATGTTGTACGCGAGAGATCTAGCAATTTCATTAGCTGAGTCTCAAACAAATAATAACTGGAGTTGGTTTTCTGATCTAGACCAAACATCCAGGTTTGGAACTTTTGGTTAAGACAAGTGTGTATTTACAAGTTTTCATTTTTAAATCTCTATATTTGTCAACAGTGATGCAACAGTGGAAGTCAGGTCTGGTCGTGAAAGGTGTTGCTATTAGACCCAAGAATTAAAACATATTAATCTTTGTAAGCTTAAACAATAAAATCGAATATGAAAACTATTAATATGATTTTATGTACATCATATAAATGTTATGTTTACCAAGTCCAAGCAATGGCTCAAACAGTAGCAAAAATAAATTGCTCGGAAGACTATCACTGTAAAGCACATCATCATACCACTAAACCTTCCCACAAGTCTCATGTCCATACTGAGTTTTTTCAGTCCCAATCAAATAATCTTATTCTTGGCTGAACCAATAGCACCAACATTTTCCAACCAAAACCGCAATGCTTTCACCATATTTCACTATACTAATACAACCACACGTCTTTAGTAATTTATGCTATTCTTCTATACACTACAAAACTCTCTGTGATGATCCTATTGGTTCTACATGAACAAAAGCAGGAAGTGAACCATCTTTTCTTGGAGTTAGTGTTGGGGTTCGAGCTGATCTACAGGCTAAGAGTAAACCAAAAACGTTGCTTAGAGCTTAACATTAAGCAGACATAAATAGTTCACAGTATATCATCAGATAAGATATGGCATCATGACCCGTGACGAAACTTTGCTTGAAGACAACATGTTAACCAAAAGGAAAGAAATCGATGCTCCCTTAATCCCTTCTCTATCCATGATTGGTAAGTCAACTCTACTTTTTTTTTTAATAAACTGAATTGCGTACGCTAAAACAACAATTCAGAACACGACACTTATTATTATGGTAATTAATGTACACGAGAAGACATTGGATTCGTTTGCTATTTACAGACGCAGAGACTTGACGCTTAGACATGACACATTACAAAGGTAGGACGCGGTTTTATGCATCAACAGAGACAGACACAGCATTAAGCTCGACATGTTGTCTACCATCGCCTTGTGGATGGACTGTTAAAGTTGCACGAGCTTCAGCCTGTGGGTTTTCATCATCCCCTGGTCTAGACACTGATATTGAGCTCACTGTTGGCGCAGCTGTGGGATCATTCTTGTTGTTGCCGTCTGATATGATATCCCACGATTCTTTCACGGAAGCAACCTCCACTCCGTTTTCGTGGTGTTCCTCCATTTCGAATGTGGTGGGAAGGATGACGTAATCGTTTATCGGGTTGTAGAACGGGTCAGGCTCGCCTACGTTTAGCCATTGTTTGAGCATCCGGAAGACACGGTGGTCGTTGAGGATTCCTCGGTGCTCACCGGGGACTCCAACTCTTGCTACTGCTTCAAGCCCATCCGCCTAGAAGGTAACAACCAAAGAGAAATGATTAACCTAAACTCAATCAAACCCAAGATTTCTGATAAACACAACAACATACCATGGCAGATTCCACTGGGACTGTACCATCACCGTCAACACATATATACGTCGGCTGAGATAACAAAGGAAGATGATCAAAACATGAAAAAAAAAGTAACTTATTGTCTACTACAATGATAGTTGATTAAGTTACCTGGAAGTATCTTAGGTTCGTTAGATCTTTGACAGGCATCTTCTCATTCCCATAGCTGCAGAGGATTATTATATATCGAATTTTAGAGAAAAAACCAGAAGTTTCAAGAAACTGAGACGTTAAATAAAGAAACATTACCAAACACTATGAGGGGTTGCTAGATTGGTCCCATAGATGTTATAGAATTTAACTTTAGAAGGAAGCTTGGCATTGTGTAACACTCTCTTGGTTTCGTGAGCCCACTCCATGATCTTCCAGTTAAAAGGAAGATCAATAGGCTTTCCACAATAATCAGCCTGATAAATTTGTGTAGATAATAGGATCAGTCAATGCAACGTTCTGTGTGCATCTTCATTTAATGATGGGTGTTAGTAGGGTGTAACTTACTTTATTATCACAAAGAGATTTTGTAAACACTTCAAGGCTCTCTAGACTACGGTAAGACTCAAGAACAACACCAGAGGACCCAACTCCATCATTGCTCTCTTTCTCTCTCCACAGCTCTAGAACCGGAGGGAGTTCCCAGTTGAAATACGGGCAACTCATCAGCTCATATATAGATGGACACTCAATAAGCTGAAACAACAGCAAAAAATTGTGGTTAAATGTTTGCTTCGTTTACTGTGGGATGATTGTTACCACTTGATGCATACTCCATCAACAGCATATATGACCAAAAGGGATGATTGTTACCAGTTGATGCATACTCCATTTTGAGACGAAAAAGTTCTGTTCCCAGCCATTGACAAATGACATTCCATTAAGTAAAGTTGATGTGATGTATCCAGGAGCACCTGAAATCAATAAACAAAACCAAATCAATCTAGTACATTGTCTCGAGTACAATCAGAACTACTACAAGTCTGTACACTTACCTCGAAATGGAGCAGCAATTGCAATCCAATTCTTCACATACTTCTCAAATACCTGACGAGCGTAGACAAGTCAGATTGAGATGTAAAGAAAACACTAAAAAAAAAGAGAGGATATATACATACATCACTGTAGAGACTCATGAAACACTTCACCAACAACCCTCCCATAGAATGACTAATAACATTAATCTTCTTCTCTCCTGAAGCTTTGTAAACTGATTCCAACTTTTTAGCAAACGCCTCCATAACTTCCTGCAGTCTACATACCATTGTAAAAAACAGTCAATACACTTAAATCAAAAAAAACAGAAGAGATGTTTGTGAGTATTCACCTGTTGCTTTGTCGAAAATCATAACCAAAACCAAAAAGAGTCTTCCCTTCTTCGAATCCCCATCCAAGCATCTCAACAATCATCTCATGGAAATAAAACACAGACTCACGCCCAACAATCTACACAAACCCTTTAACTTAATCAACAATAAGACAAAAAAAAGAGATAAGCTCATGAATCCAACATTACCAAATCAGGGTCTAAGACATCAATTGCAAGTAACCCAGCTCTCTCTTGAGGAACCACAATACTCGTTTTTGGGTCAAGCGAAACCGTTTTACCTGTTTCAGACAAAAACATCCCAAGAGCTTAAACAAACCACAAAGCTGATGACTTTACCAATAAAAATCAATACTTTAAACAGAAATCAAACATTAAATAATCAATCAATCAAAACCCTAAATCAATTTTACCAGATGAAGGATCGAAACGAGACCACATCTTGGTTCGAAACTCGTGATCGGCGCCGAAGATTCTGACCCAGACACGCTCTTCTTTACCGGAGTCATGATCAACGGCGTTGAGAATGGACCCGGCGATACCGGGGACGAGAAGGACCGGGTCGAGGTTCGGGTCGACGTAGGGTTTCTGGGTCGAGGTTTTGAGCTTGAGGAAGGCTTCGACTGATCGAATGATCTCTTCCAGCAGTATGGCCATGGTTCGATTGGATTGGATTGGATTTGAGAAGCAAGTGGTGAATTCAAGAAGATCCCAATTTGGGGGAAATTAGGGTTGGTGAGAATTATTGATTGTGGGGATCGAAGAAAAATGATTTTAGAAAATTAAGCCGTACAAGTAAAGGTGGTAGGCAAAATTGTTATTAATCATATTAGCACTATCAATCATCAATTAAAATATTGTTTTCAAATGGATAACGTAAGATTGGATAATTGAGATTCCCCAAAAGAAAAGGAAAAACAATATAAAAATGTTATCTCAGTTGTCAAAATATA